TCTTGCAGGTTTCCTTTACACAGTTTCAGAAATGCATTTTAACTGAACATTCCTCATGGCTGCTATGGATGTTCTCTGTTTCTTTCTCTCCACTATTTTCTTCAGAGTTGTCTTGTTCATTCTTTCCATTTGTATTGTTTTAATATGCACGTTTCATTTTTAGTACTTTTTTTTAATAGAAAGGCAACTTGTAGGTTGCATCAATTAACAGAACGGTTTGTCAATATGTTTTAAAAAGCATTAAGGACCACCTGTGAATGGCAGGCTGAAATGAGATTATCTTGAACAGCAGAGACAAGGCGACACAATCATGACTCAGGCATTCCACAGAAATAGAAGCTCCAATCCCAGTAAGTAATAATTTATTTTCCAGCAAACTAATGGTTTCAATCACAGGTAGGCAGAAATATGACATTTAATAGAAGCAATACTATAGGAGTAATTATTTATACTAAATTAACAATGTATGTGGCATGTTCATCATCATCAGATTCAGAAATTTAACAGCACAGGTGAAAAGCTATTTTAGAAGGACACAATTGATTTAATTTCAGTTTCCTAACTTTGATCTTTCCAAACCTTCTCACATCACAGCTGGTGTACAGACAGGAATAGCCAAACTATATAAAGACGGTTTCAGTTATTGAGGAGGGTGGTTTATTGGGGTGGTGTTGTTGTTGTTGCTGTTTCCATTACATATTTTATGTTTTTATCTTGTAATTTTATGTTGTGACCTGCCCTGAGATTTACAGACAAAGGGCGATATACAGATTTAATAAACAAAAGAATAAAAGAAGGGCACATTTCAGAAGGGTGCTTTGCATCTGTACCCTCCATTGATGCCTCTGAGTAAATGTACCTTCCTGGAGCAAGAACTTGGCAATCTTATTAATAGAGGTAGTACACTTACTTCTTCCCATAATGGGCACCTCTTTGCTTAGTTTCAGAGTGGCAATTAAGTTAAAAAAACAACAACTCAGGCATTTTTATTGAAGTTAACTAATGGGTAGAATGGTTGTTTCCTCCTTCTGTCTCTGCTGTCTCCTTACAAGGTATCTTGTTCCTTAATTGAATATTGTGTATGTGTTTCTCTGTGTGTGTGTGTGTGTAATGCACACATACATCTATAATACCCCCCACACACTTTGTGATGGGTTCAGGACTTGGCTTTGCAACCTGTTTATAATTCTAGGCTTCAGCCCTGGCAATGTAATACAAAACACCAACTAATAAATCCCTCAGTCAGTTACGAAGGTCCTAGGTCCTTACTTTTTTACTCTTGAATAAGTACAGTAAGCTCCCAGTCATTTTGGAAGATGAGAAAAGATTTCAAGGGCAAACAGCTTGAGCCTGGCTATCTCTCTTGATTTAAGTGATTAATAAACACCATGTGGATTGCATATGGCAGCAGTATTAATGAATGGGGAAACGACTGAATAGAGAAGATGCAGGGCTGCCGATGATCTTCACCTAAGCTTTGTCTGTATCTTGAATGCTGAATTGCCTGCTGAACAGCTAGGTTTTAAATCATTTGGGGGAAATGTCATAATTCTATCAGCAGTCAGAACGAGCAGCTGTAATATCTGGTTTTTAAGTGACAGCCCTTTGTAAATATAGCAAGTGACAGCCCTGCAACAACCACCTTTATAAATATAGCAAGTTACTCACATATTTTGTTAAACTTAGGCAGTTCAGTTTGTAAATTTGGGGCAGAATTATCTAGAAATATAGCAAACTGATTTATTTCAACCCAGACCACTGGACTCTCCAGCAGTTTTGTCTACTGACTGGCAGTGGCTCTCTTGAGTTTTGGACAGGGGCCTCTCCCAGCCCTTGCTGGTGTTGCCAGAGGGTGAACCTGAAAATTACTGTATGCAATACGTGTGTTCTACCAGTGAGATTCATATGAGGGCATAGGTCAGTTTAGGACATAACTATGGCTACGGAGAATTCTAAAACAAGGCAACCATTGTCACTGTGCAGCTCTCGCCCACAAAGTACTTGTGATATGGAGACTCTGAACCAGAAGCGACACATCTACAGATCAGCTGTGTGGTGCTGCAAACACAGCCTGTTCCCAGTCAGGCACCTTTTCCCATGGTGAAAGGGGGCTGGGAAGCCAGAAGGAAAATAAGAATGCCAGCTCCAGTGCTTGCGTACTTCCCTCCATTCTGGTGGCACAGCAGAATAGGGAGGCTGCAGATCAAAGGGTTCTCCCAATGTGCCCTCAGAATGCCCCCTTTTTGTTATTACTACACATTGGAGTATTGACAACAGATTGGAACTGGCAGAGATTTCTGCACCTGCTTGCGAGGGAACAGTTGCTGGTACAGATTGCCCCCAAAATGCTGTATCCAGAGAGCATTGTGGGTGGCACAAAACATCTGAGACGGCATGTTTTTAAAAAGAAGGAAAGAACCACTGTTCTGTTCACAGGGTTCTCCTAACAAATATGGCAGTGGAATTTGCCATACCCACTTGAAAAATAAAGCAACTGAACACAAATGCCCTGGCTGAGATCATGCAAGATAGAATCCATTTATTGTTTTTAAAAATTGCACTGAAGGAGATGTAGGCTTACAGTAGTAGCGGGAAACTGGTGGCCCTCCAGATGTTACTGAACTACAACTCCCATCCATCATCCCTGGCTACTGACCATGCTTCCTGGGGCCTGATGGGAGTTCAGCAACATCTGGAGGGTCCTGGAGGGTCAAAGGCTTCCCATACCTTAATCTGGGGAACAACAGTACAAAAGAGCAGAAGGGGAACGGCAAGTATTTCTACATCAACTTTTGCAGTGAAAATGGAACTTTATGAAAATTCAGTGCAGCACTAGATCACCTGTGTCTTCGCAATGAGGGGTGTGGGTGGGTGTCCTTTGATAACCCGAAGGCTATGCCTTACATATTTTGGAGGAACATATATGAAAAGAACAAGGAAGAAGAAAGGCAGAGAGTGGGATTTCAGGGCTTGTTTGTTCTGCTACAGAATTCACAGGCTATCTGGCTGCTGTGATATCAAGCATCCTGTTCATGCTGTGAAAAGAAAAACACACAAAGCAGAAGCCACACGTTGCTTTCAGGCTCAGCAAACCAAGGGGATGAAATGGCCTCGCTGTGAATGGCTTTGGGGCTCATCAAAAGGAAGTCTCAGAACATCTCTGTCCAAGGTCAGAAAGGAACAAGATGCTTTCCCACAGAATAATCACTGCTCTGTTTTTGAAGCAGAGTGGCTGCTCGGCTCAACTTCTCAAACATGGAAATGCAACAGCAGGATTAACATAAAGATTCTTGGTATTCATAGCAGAGTTAACAGCTTGGAAGCTGGGGCTACCTGGAGTTACCCAGTCCCACCGCCACTCTTTCTGTCTCATTCACACACCGCTAGCATAATTTAAAAGAGTAAAACAAAAAAACAGTTGGTCTCCATGGTAAAGGAAGATTTATGAAGATATTATGAAGAGCTTCTTCATATCTACAAGGACTCTAACCTAGTTAGATTCTAAGCTAGTTCTCATAGCTGCCTCAAGCAGGAGAGAGGGAAGAGGGTGAAGGCATGGAGGGTGAAGGTGTAGGGATGGAACTTTGGGCTTTGGCAGGAAAACACAAAGTGTGTTTCCCCCTATTAGTCTCAACCCTGTCCACTTCTGATTAGAGGCATGCAAAGTTGCTTAAACCCAACAGATTTCCCAACTCCCTTTCCAGAAGGACGCTCATGCAGACTTTTTTGTGCCACACTTTCCAGGCGCAGGTCCGTCCGCACTTTAAAGCTCCATGTCTGAGTCCGTTCTCCATGAAAACTTGAGTTTTACTGCCGAATCAGAGAAAATGGCTATCCGCAGACAACCCAATAGTTCTTGGCTCTGATTCAGAGGTATAACATGGGTTTTCGCAGGGAAAACTCCAGGACAAAAATAATAAAATAATAAAAAATGTTCAGACATGGAGCTTTAAAGAGCAGAGCTGTGCCTAGAAATATGGCACAAAAGGAAGTCTGGATGAGCCCCAAGTCTCTTGCACCAGGGAACAAGCCCAATGCTGCTTGTTTTTCCATATTAATTTCCTGTAAGCTTTATTTTTCACTTTAGGTGAAATATGGATTGATTTTGTTTCAAAATCCTTCCTGAAAAGCAATGAACCTCCAGCCCCCTACAACTCCCATCATCCCTATCCATTGGCCATGCTGGTTGGGGCTGATGGGAGTTGGACTCCCATCACTATCCCTGGTGTACATGATGCACTGAACTGTGGGGATAGTATTTTTTAAGTGTCACATATAGCTAGGCCCTGGAAGACAGAGTCAATGAGTAGGTGAAAGCCATCACATGAACTTGATTGCTGAACTCAGGTCCTCCTAATTCAACACTTTCACATTCTTTCAACCTCAGCAGACTGAAAGTGCACCGCAGAAAGTGCTGTTGCCTAGCATTCCCACGGTTCATCCTGAGAAGGTTTCATCTAATCAAGTGGCCATTGTTGATGCTGCTTGTTTTCCCCTTCAGAGAGCAGGAAAGTATGAATCTGAAGCAATAAAGGCAGCAGGAGGGTGGGAACAAGCCTTCAGCTACCCCCAAGGTCTTCCATGACAAACCTGAGCCCAACTACTTTTAATATATGAAGACGGCGAATGGTACATATATTGGTGCCCTTACAAAAAACTATGCCCACAGTTCAGCGCATCCTGTACAAGGAGGAAAGCTAGACACTATGGCAGAAAATGATAGCTGTCCATCTGTAATGAATGCCTTTGAGAAGATAGGATTTGTGTCATGTGGCTGCTGTCATACAATAAGCCACACCAACCGCATCAACACCATACAAAAGCGTTCTTAGTGTCACATGTGAAAGCACTCCAAGGGTGTAAATAAAGCACTGCAGATTCTAGAAATGCCACAGCAGGTTTATATTATGGTCATGGCTCAGATTCAAGGGCACTCCTCCGAAAGTGGTTAAAAGAACTCCATCCTTTAACATCAGCTGAAGGCAAAACAAGATCAGCTGCACCTTGAATTGATCACATTTATTCAATATTCTTCAAAATAAGCAAGAATTTTGTAGCACATCAGCAATCAAATAGAGCCACAAAAACACGCACACGTATAAATAAGATACACTATGTGAAATGCACAATATTGAAACAAAAATAATACTGTACAGTAACAACATTTGAGAGACAAACAGTTCAAATTAGGGTTTGCTTACTCGCACTATAAAAAACTTGACTTTTTAAAGAAAAATATAGATCCAATATAAAGGCCTGATCCTGAACACTGTGAAATCAATGGAAATTATATCATCCGCTCACTTCAAAGGCAGCAGGATCAATCCTTTGTTTGCCTTAATAGGCACTTCAATTGATCGTTTTTACAAAGCTTACCTTGAATACTATTACAAAAAAATGACAAACATCAACTCAAGAGAATGTTTCAGCAAAAGTTTCAGGAACATAATGCAGAAATAGGTTAGTTATCCATGCACAAAACAGGGAGAAAGCTAATTCATTCAGTTTAAGAATAATATTTTTTACTAGATTCCTTTTCACAAACACAAACATTTTAGACTTCATTTTTTTCCAGTAATGGATATATCAAGTTTTACATTTTTCCTAAGTCTACTGAGAATGCTGGCACTGTTATGTCATTGCTTAACATATTGCATTCTGTCTGTAATAACCACAGAGGTTCATCATCTGAGTTTGGTAAAAACACACACTATTGTTAAGATTAGAGTTTTCTAAAGCTGAAAGTACATTAAAAGGAAAACCATGAACTTCACAAATTCAGTTTTAAAATATTTTTCCCCAACTAAAAGCTGCAGAAAACTTGTTCTTAAATAATCTACAGAAAATTCTGGAGCCGCTAAACATTTTAAATTTCTTACACTTTCTTCGTCTTAAAAATATTTGAATTAATTCGGTAGCCCATCCTTTTGAAAAATAATCCAAAAAAGAAGAAAAGACCTGAAGTAGATTACAAATCTTTTGTTTTAATCAGTGTGACCAAGGGTTTGTCGTCAGGACTGTAGTCTTCATAAGCAATTGGAGTTGCATCATACATCGCAGGTCGAGATTTCTTTCCAAACCTAACCCCACCGCAAAAAAAGGAAAAGAAGGATTTAGTGGAATTGCAGATTGGTTGAACATTTACACTTGTAGCAGTAACCCATTGTCCCAAGAGAATATCAAAGAAACGTCAAGCTTCATTTGAAATATGTAGTCAAGTGCCAAGCATTCATGAAATAAGGACCTAAATCTAGTGAACTGGTAGAATGCAAACTTAGGCAATCAGCAGAACCACCAGATGGTGACGTTTTTCCTAGATGGTAACACTTCTGGTCACAGGTAGGACCGGGAATTACTGAATGCCTGAATACCCTTCTTTTAGTCCCTATGCATACAAAAAAAAGTACCACATTTTTTGCTCAATAAGACTCACTTTTCCCCTCCTAAAAAGTAAGGGGAAATGTGCATGCGTCTTATGGAGCGAATGCAGGCTGCGCAGCTATCCCAGAAGCCAGAACAGCAAGAGGGATTGCTGCTTTCACTTGCGCAGTGATCCCTCTTGCTGTTCTGGCTTCTGAGATTAAAAATATATTTTTTTCTTGTTTTCCTCCTCCAAAAACTAGGTGCGTCTTGTGCGTCTTATAGAGCGAAAAATACGGTACATTAAAGATGAGGTTTCAGCTTCGCCTTCTCCTTGGTAAGGCATTTTCCTATGGATAGGGGGGAAATCCTTCTTTGTGGGAGACCATTCTAATGCACAACTCTCCACCTGCAGTCTGATATGGTACAATCCAGGACAGGTTTTGCTATTAGGCTACTGTTGACTATATAAACTAAGGTTACCAGATGTCCCTGTTTCCCAGGGACAGTCCCCGGATTTACAAATCAGTCCCCATACAAAATTCTTTGAAGTTGAAAAGTGTCCCCGGATTATTTGAAAAAAATCTGGTAACCTTCCTATAAACTGGCAACATACAGCTAAGCTCCTATGTTCCTACATTGCAGGCAGGGAGGCAGGAAGGAAGGAAGGAAGGAAGGAAGGAAGGAAGGAAGGAAGGAAGGAAGGAAGGAAGGAAGGAAACTGGCACAGCGGAAGCAGTGCTGCATGCAACAAACACAGGTCAGATTGGAAATCAATGGCTTATTACATCTCTAGGTTACAACCAGGCCTGTATTTCCCCCTTTACTCCAAACCAACCTGGCATGCCTGATGGAGGCAATAGCACTGCTGAATTCACTGTCAATGCTCCTGCAATTGTAGAATTCCTCGTACGCTGGCCTGGATGAGCCTTGATATTCAATCCGGCTGATGCGACAAATCCCCACAATTAGGATGATCAGCATCAGGACAAACGCAACACATAGGGCTCCGATTATGATGTAGAGAGAGTGCCGTGGCATGTTTGTCAGGCTCTCTGCCATGTGACCAGACTTCCACTGTAAATCTAAAAGCAAGGAATATAATGGACATTGTTGATGAATTGTACAGTAAGTGGGTAATGGCACATTCACTCCCACCATATATATTTGTACTTTTAATGAAGTTCCATGAAGATGGAAGTTAGGTGTGAAACTATTGCAAAACAGATCCTTTCTAATAATAATAATAATAATAATAATAATAATAATAATAATAAATAATTTTATTTATACCCCACCCTCCCCAGCCAAGACCGGGCTCAGGGCGGCTAACAACCAATATAAAAACAAATTGATTGAAATACAACTTAAAAAACAAGATTAAAATACAACATTAAAACATTAATTAAAATGCAGCCTCATTTCAATGGAAACTCAAATCAAAAACTTTTTGGGGGATGAAAATGTCAAGTCTTCACCAAAGCTAAATATCCAGACTGGTCCTACGTGGGCCAGAAAAAAAGCCAGGGAAGTCCCCTAATAGGAGTTCCATCACAGGAGAAGAAAGGAAAAAAGAAAGAGGGGGAGGGAATCAAATTGATTCCAAGTCAAAGGCCAGGTGGAACAACTCTACCATTAACCCCACACTTGATTCCCACTGCCAATGGTTATTCCTGACAGAGCAGACACAGAAAGGTGCAGAGATATAGAAGCAAGGTGCCTGCCTCTTTTAACTCGCTGGTAGCAGAAGCAGAACTGGAAGCTGAAGGAAAGTTAGCTCCCCTTCTAGCTGGCCACAAAAGATTTCATTTTCAAAAGTTCCTTCTGCCTCTGCCTCCAAGTGTTTCCTGTATTCTCTACTGATCAAGAAAGATGGCACTTCCTTCATTTTGCATTTCACATGCTCAAACGTTTGTATTTGCTGCCAATCCTGAGAGGTTTCTAGCTGATTTTCCTTCCACAGTTGGAAATTTCAGTCACCCCTCCAAGTTAAACCTTTTGTCTTCTATTCCAAAAGCTAATGAAGGTGTTTTGGGTGCTAAAACATGCTGACAACAGTTCTAGGTTTCCAAACAGATGTTAATTATATAGCAATCACACACCCCCATATAACTTTTTTCCTGACGCCCTTACGCATCCATTGAAAGTTAATATTCGCCTTTACAATGCTCTTCCATTGGCCTGCTATAGCTTTGTTTTATATCAAACCATGCGCTAAATTATTCCCAATGTTTCAATGTAACAATGTATATCTGGAATACCCAGGCCTCACCTGGGATACTCATGGATTCTTTCCTTGCCAAAGAAAAGTATCCATTTTCTTTTGCAATTATGCCACCACCACTTTGGCACTAACAAATTCTGAAATACAAATAAAACCCTGAAGAGCACGTTAATTTTTATAATACTTATTCTCCCAAGCAGTGAACTGGAAGCACTCTCCCATCTCTTGGTTTTGCATTTGTTTCTGTAAAGTAATATGACCAATCTTACACGAGTCTTGCAAGCCCAAATGTTTAACACTAGAATGGCATCTTATATTTTTAAACCAGTTCCCACCCTAAATTATATCAACATTTGTTTAGTTTATGTGATTTGTTATTAGCTCATACTGTCCATTACATTAAGGTTGCCAGATTTTTTTCAATAAATCTGGGGACACTTTTCAACTTCAATGGATTTTGTATGGGGACTGATTTGTAAATCCGGGGACTGTCCCCAGGAAACAGGGATGTCTGGTAACCTTACATTACATTAATCCATAAAGAGGTCCCATGCTATCCTTTGGTACCAGTCAATGGTTTCCTCCGTTTTTGGGTCCCTCAGGACGGTGAACACATTTCCTTAATCCAGGGATGAGGAACCTGTGCTAGACTACAACTCCCAACATCTCTGGCTGGGGCTGATGGAAGCTGGAGTTCACCAACATCTGGAGGGCCACAAGTTCCCCATTCCTGGCACAGATGTGGGTTTCTTCAAACAAGCATAAACTGAATTATATTTTGCTCAAATCTCACTTGTTCTTTCTGTGTGTCAGAACTAAGGTGACAGCTTGGTGCTAGGAGTGCTATATTCCACCATTGTTCATAAGCTACACCTGCAGCCAAGCTCCTTTACAATTCTGGAATCAAAGTATCATTCTGAGATATTTGTTATCATACCACATAATCGACAGCAAGTAATAAAAGCATATGGTTCCAACAATCTAGGCCTTTCATAGAAAGCCATTAAATTACATATTATTAGAATATGTAGGCACTGCACGGAATGCATTTCTAAAGGATTACTGCATGTCTCAGGATATTAAATCCATCTGCCAGACAGCCTATTGTCTACCACCTAAAGAGGCTGTCACTCACACATGGATTGTTCCCTCAATTAAGTATGCATGCCTATTTTAGTCATTACTATTTTCTCCTTTCAGCAGACCTCATGCCTTTATTTTATTTAGATATTTAGCATCCTGTTTTTCAACTAAAAAAAATAAATATCCTCTTGATTGCTTCCAGTACATATTAAAATAATGGCTTGTATTCTAAGACTGTTAAGGCTGTAATCCTATATGCTCTTACGTGGGAGTAAATCCCACTGAATTTAATAGGACCCACTTTGAACAGACATGCACAGGATTGTGGTGTTGAGGAAATTGATAGAATGGAAGTTTCCCATTCCTTCGTTCTTCTTTCAGTCACCTGTGAACCCTGAAGAGCTTTTGGAGGGTTATAGGGCTTTCCAGAGTAATGTGGGATAGGTGTATGGGCTGCTTCAGGGAGGAGCAGATGTGGAGAATACTTTTGTTCTGTTAACTGCTTTAACTTACCTTAGGACCCAAGCCAATATAATTCAAAAATTGCAAAAACTTGCAAAGGCCATTTGACCAGAGACTATATTGGAAAAGAAAATAATTAACATGTCCTGTGGTGAACAGTGGCCATCTTAGACTTGGTTAATTAATAAAACCAAATGGTAATAAATACTTACGTATTTCGCAATTTGCCCCAACCCATCCACGTGGACAATGGCAAGTATACCCATTGGGTTGGTCTATGCACATTCCACCATGATGACAGGGGTTACTCTCACAGTCATTTATATTAATGTCACACTCTTCACCTTAAAACAAGGAAGGAAATATAGTTATGTGTTGCAGATATGAAAGCAAAATGGAATGCCTTCATCCCTTTCGACTGCAGACACTCAATAATCAACATGTTAGTGTAACTTACTCTCAAAAGATTAATTTAAGCAGTCATATTATCTATGATGCAACAGATAATGGGCTCTTTGTAAGGAGAAAATTACATTTTTCTGCAAGGAGTTCTTAACTGCAACCACACTCACGGCATGCTACTTATTATTAAAACAATGGAATGAGGTCTCTTCAGGGTTGCACAGGAATGAACAGTATTTAAAAAGCAATCAAAACACAGACTGATGCAGGGCAGCAATCAAACTTCAGCAAGAAGTGGCTGGAATATACAATGGAATTAGATCATTGCAACCACATGAATCAAAGAAATGCCTTGCTTTGCTACTGGAACTCTGAACATGGAGTTGAAGATGCTCATGTTTTCTTAAGATTAGAAACACCTGGGACTTCAAAAATGCTCTTACACGTCTATAGAATAAAATCCTAGAGAAATAATATCTAACAAGTAGGGCCACTTTAAAGCTGGTGATCCCTGGGTGAAGTATGAACTAGTAGTGGGTAAACCTTTTGTTTACTCTTGCTTTTATGAAAACACAATTTGATACTATAGACTTCTTAGTGATGAAAAACAGGGCTGTTGAAAAAGGAAAGTATCAGACTCATGGGGTGACTTAGGGAGAAGGGGTGAAGTGTGGGGCTTCTATCTGCAGAAACAATTTAAGCACCGAAGGGCTGGAGTAATTGGGAACTCACAATGGGGCATGGGATATTGGACCTTTAAAGGATGTCCAGCTTGTCACTTGTAAGGAAAAGAAAAGGTTTTGCAAAAAGCAATGCAGAAGAGAGGTATTCCACACTTCTCTTTGGGTTTTGCATGTAATGTCTTCATTCATTTTTGGGTTTTGAATGTAATGCCCCAGCTGTCCTTGACAGCCTATCTTTACATACCACTCTTTGTAAAGCAGAATACATTTCTGGCCCCCAAACCACTTCTGGAGAATAAATTGGCTTGCAAGAATCCCAAAGCTGGCTATCCCTTCAAGGCATTCATACAACTATCAGAAAAAGCAAGGAGAGTGAAATGTCTTCACTTTACTGGTATAATAATAATAATAATAATAATAATAATAATAATAATAATAATTTATTATTTATACCCCGCCCATCTGGCTGAGTTTCCCCAGCCACTCTGGCCGGCTCCCAATCAAGTATTAAAAACAATACAGTGTTAAATATTAAAAACTTCCCTGAACAGGGCTGCTTTCAGGTGTCTTTTAAAGATAGGATAGCTACTTATTTCCTTCACATCTGAAGAGAAGGTGTTCCACAGGGTGGGTGCCACTACCGAGAAGGCCCTCTGTCTGGTTCCCTGTAATCTTACTTCTCGCAATGAGGGAAACTGGTACAGATTACATGACGCTAACCTGCTTTATTTAGCACCATTCAATTAGCATGCTGCCTTTTCAAATATTGTTTTCAAATGCCATATTGTTTCAGAAAGATATTGATTAAGTAATGGTTTAGCAGCTGTTTACCTTGCCAAGTTCTAATTAGCTACACATTTTACTTCTGAAAGTCGCAATATCAAATCACTTCTAACCAATATTAACAGCTCTTCTGTCAAAGCTAAATTCAACAGCACCCAAGTTAATTGGGGCATACTCTCTTGCTATACATTCGTGCTCACAAGATTATCTTAAACTGCTTGCCTACTAAATGGACCATTTTCAAAGCTCTCTTTTAACTCATGTTCACCTTCTCATTCCCTCTTGGATGAGTCTATCCCAAGTCTCTTTCAGCAAATTCTCCCCCACTAATGGCAGGAATGCCGTCCTGTAAAAGTAACAGAGGGGTCTGAGAAACCTGTTTCTTTTGCTTTGTTACTGAGATTGTGAAAAACATGCAAGGCCACTAATCTAATGTAAAATTTATGGATTAAGACAGGATTGCAAGAATAAATAGCTAAAAAGAGCTATTCCACTGTGGAAAATATTCTATTTTATCATGCTTTAGATACTTAGATACTTGTGAACAAATGAGAACATTTGCAGTATACATTAAGACTCCCTATTTTGTAGTAAGAGATCATGGAATGTGTTTTCTAGACATAGAGTACTTCTAATTCATTGTAGTGATAACAGAATCACAGTATGGCATTTATTCCAGATTGCAGTAGTGTTATACATTTTTCACCTTGAATGAAGGGGATACAGCCAGTAAGGGAGATATAATATATGAGAAACAAACTATGTTAAGTGGTGCATTATATATGCGGTCTTAAAATTAGAATGAATACATGGCATTATCCTCCCCCATCCTCTTCCATATGATTCCTGTATCTGTTTCAAATCCTGCAGGTCTTGTTCTCAGCTTGCAGAGCTGGAACTTGCTATCTTATCATACATTGGCCCTTATCTTTGTGTTTTTAAAGAGAGTGCATATTAAAAGGAAGCCTGAAGTAGAGAAAAAACAACAGCAACCTGTAAACTGTTTGAAATACGTAGTCTCTGTTAGGTTGTCATCAATCAGCATATACATTTCAGCAGTCGGTTTTCAGACACTACTTTCCGGGCTTGAGCTAAGGAAATAGTACAGCAGCTCTGTGAACTCAGGTCATGCTTTAGGGCACCTGATCTTAATATGTCTTTCTAGCTGGAAAGAGATTCACACACTGTGGAACAGCAATAGCCAGCACCTCAAGCTTCACAGGCTCCTCGTGATCAAGCTGTTGAGAGTCTGAAGAAGCCTCTCTTTTCACCAACATGGCCAGGGAGATATAAGAAACCCTCTCCTGCTGTTCAAGTTTCAAGATGTTGATTGTCATTTCTGCCTCCATGAAATGATTACTGGTCCCAGCAGCTTCCAGGGTAGGGCTTTTTCCTCAGATGGAACTCAGTTACAGCACCTTTCAGGTGGGCGGGCACCATTGCCATTATAAGAGAACGAGGGAGGTTTTCATGGTGAGTTCTGGCACCTCTTTTTCTAGAAAAATAGCACTGTTCCAGGGTATATTTCCATTACCTGAAGCACAGGTGAGCAACCAGCAGCCACGACAAACACCTCCTGAAGCTGCCACATTCTTCCATACTACCCAGACGTCCTCCCTTCCTTGTTCATTTCCTCCATCCCCACCCCCAGTTTTTAAATGTATTTTGTGTTTTTATATTCTGGTTTTACTCTGTCAACTGCCCTGAGACCTGCGGGTATATAAATTCAATAAATAAAATCAACCATTCTACTCCCCTCCCCCTTTCTATGTAATTTCAGAACAAACTGGAAGGGCAACTGTTTTATTTGCTAAAAATAAATTTACGCTTTCATTCTGGGTTAGTTTATTTCAATTTGTCTTTATTCAGGAGTTGTTAGTCCAGAACATTTGTCTGTGGCTCCACCCAACATTGGTTCTGGCTCTGCCTACTACCAGAGCGCAGCCCCTGACAGCTCATCCCTGAAGAATGCAGCCCTCGATGGGGGGAAAGGGGACAGGCACGTAAGCCTGCAAGCCTAGGAAGAAAGACATGTATAAAGAGAGCCAGGTTCATTTTTATAGACTACCTTCTCTGCTTCTCCTGCTTTGTCAGAAAGGCAATGAATATCATTAGTGGTAATTATTTATTTTTTTAAAAAGTGGAGTAAAATATCTGGTATCTAAACTGGGCATCAGCAGAATAAGATGAAAAGCAGGTGCAAATGCATTCAAGTTGACATTTGTCTTCTTCTGTATAGTCTGATTAATAATTATGCATATTATGTAATTTCAAAGTAACTTGCCTGTAAATCCAGGTGCACAGATACACGTAGCATTTAGCCCTTCACTGTCACAAGTACCACCATTCTGGCAGCTGATGTTAACACAAGGATCTTTGTATAATTCACAGTGTCTTCCTGGGAATATTAAGTGATAAGAGATGATGTTAGAATTGTACATTGTTTAAGGGCTGGAGGATGTGGAAGCAGAATATAAAGAATACTAGCAGCCTCATACTCAGCATTGCTTGGGAATTCTAAGGAAACAAAATGGCAGCCAAGTCCTATAATTTTAACCTGATTATTAGAAGATGGGATATACAAAAAAAAAAAAGAGAGAGAGAGAGGAAATTTCATTGGCGCCAAGTAATTAATTTGTATCCTGAAACACCACCCTGGGATCTTTGGATAAAGACTGGCATCAAAATTGAATAAATAATAATAACCCATCCCCTACCGACAGTTTTGAGCCATTTTGAAGGTGTGGTGAGTAGTGCCCCTCATTTCTTCATGATTGATGATGCTCAATGCAAGGTAAACAAAGCATTGGCTATCCATGAACTAAATCTGGATGGGACCACTGAACCTTTTTGTACTGCCAAGGCCTGTTCACAGCCTCGTAGACCCTTCTCAGAGCTTAATAAAGGGTTAGCTAAAAGACAAGACAAATGGAGGTGGTCTGTACAGATATCTTGATCTAGCTAAAACACTCAGCACCTAAACCTTGTTATAGGATACATGAACCTGGTACTGGCAACCCACAGGAGAATGATATTTACTTTGATATCCCCATGAGCACGACCAACAGTTCTTTAATAAATACATGTACAAGTACTGCAAGCATCTATTGGATACTCACTGTGACTTCATGGATAACACACCCTCCCTCCTCAAGGTTGTTGTTCTTTTTTCATGGGTATAAGATATGTGCATACATATGTATATCCTCTTTTTATCATGCTGCCCCTGAATAACAATGTTAACCACTCCAACCATTTCTTTTTTCAATATATATTTTAATAGCATGCCCTGCTTCTTCTGCGCCTTTGAATAACCAATTAACTCTTTCCATTTGGACTAAAATTCTCTAGCTCTGACAAGAATTCTTGTCGGACATCACGACTTCACTGACTTTTATTAATTGAGGTTGGGCGGCTATAATTGTCAGAAAAAGCTTTCCCCCCCCCCCGAAACAAGATAGTTCTCTGTGTCCTACTCTGTGTCCTACTGCCATGATAGTGCAAGGGGGGAAACTGTAAATCCAAAGTAAGATTCAGCTGCACTTTTTAGAGATGTCAGAAAAGTAGCACGTCACACTACAGGTGAGCTTCATATTGTTGGTTCCAAAAGGCTTGCCTCAAAGATAATGAAACTTAAATGATGCAGATCACGTTTATTAGGCAGATTTACAGTAACTCCACCTATGTTAAAGCAAAGCATCTCCTACCTTCATATTTTTTTGGCTTGGGTGGTGGTTAGGCATTGGAATATGTTTGTGTATTGGAGGGTAAGGTGTGGCCATCGCCTACCCCTCCACTTTATGGGTATTCGAGTAAAGGAATCTGGCGGTTGTGGATCCTGTCTGATGCCCTTGCTGGTGGCTAGGGCCATGGCATGACCCCCGGTGACATCAGGGGGAGCTTTCAGTTGTATTTGCATCAACAGGCTCCTCCCACTGGTGGTTAACCCTTGTTAGACTCACCCCTCCCTGAGGGGGTGGAGTCACGCTCTGTTGTTTTCTCCAATGCCTAAGCCAATACCTCTCACATGCTGTAATCAATAAAGTTGTGGCCTTTTTTTAGCCCATTAACCTAATATACGGTGTCCATGTGTCTTTTTTATCCCCAAGCGGGTGGAGGGTCCTTGAATCATAACCCCACCTATGTTAAAAGCAAAGCATGTCTTACCTTCATATTCAGCAAGACATACACAGTCGTAGCTATTGACAAGGTCTCTGCAGGTAGCTCCATTCTGACAGGGGGCTGAAAGGCACTCATTATATTCCTCCTCACAATAGAGTCCGTGGTAACCTGAAAACATGTAACAAAGAAAACACAACATACCCTGAAAATGTGTCTCAGCATATGGCAAAAGCTTCACAATCGTGGATGGGACAGAGATGACTAGTAGCTGAAAATAACAATGTGAGGATGCACCTTTAAAGCTATTTTGTCACATAATGTACATGAAAGGATTTGGAGCTCAGTTTACGCTGGAATCAAGACCTCCTTATACATTTCATACGTTGAACAATCAGAAGGCTGCCAAATGACCTCATTAGAAATCTAAGCAAGCCAGGAGCACGACAGAAGTACTGAAGCGAATGGACTGTATTTTCAGAATTCGTTTTTTGCACGGCTGTAGATCACATTTATTAGGTGGGTTTACTGGGCTAAAACGAGCAGAAATCTTGGTGATGTATAATGCCACTTTATATAATGAAACTAGATCTCGCTCCAGCACAACTCTGAAGTGTAACTCAAATAGCAAACTGCAGGATGTAGAGTAGCTGTCACTTGTCTGAAGTGGGTAAAGATATGGCAGTCTGAAGACAGAGAAGCATACTTGGTTGATTCAAGCTGGTAAAACAGGGACGGAACACCATTTCACATGTAAATGAACGGTAAGTGCTACCAATCTGCCCAGCAAAATTTTGGCACAGCTTACATTGTGCCCTTTTATTATTAAACAAAGCAACAGTTTCATAGAATACAGCATGGATTAAGCATTATCAGTTATTCTACTGTGTTCTACAGAGCTGCAGTCCGATGCATATGTAAATAAATGAGGAATTATGTATTCTTTACTTCTACTGCTATGCTTCTAGCAAACTTTTATTATACATGGAAGCCACTGAGTAATCACTGCAGCTGCCCCACCTTCATTTAACTGCATCAGATTAGCATACAATATCCTTTTAAGCCTTATTCGTTCAAATCAGAAGGTGCAGCAACTATGACTGGTGAATTGTAGCCATTATTTTCCTTCTTAGAACACCAGGCATCCACTACTACTCTTGTTAAACCAGGGAGACCTTTCACCTTCTATATACAGTGGTGCCTCGCAAGACAAAAAGAATCCGTTCCGCGATTCTTTTCTTCTAGCGATTTCTTCGTCTTGCGAAGCAACCCCATTGCCGGCTAAGCGGATTAGCGCTATTAGCGATTTAGCGCTATTAGCGGCTTAGTGGGCTTAGCGGCTAAGCTGTTAAAAGGCTATTAACAGCTTAGCCGCTTTGAAAAGGGGGGGGAGCAGGGGGGAAATGGCGAGACTCGCAAGACGTTTTCGTCTTGCGAAGCAAGCCCATAGGGAACTTTGTCTTGCGAAGCGCCTCCGCGACGGAAAACCCTTTCGTCTAGCGGGTTTTCCGTCTTGCGAGGCATTCGTCTTGCGGGGCACCACTGTATTTGCATCATTCAAAAACATCCTAAGCTTGTCCATCAAGTTCTAATTCACTCATTCAGGCAAACAGAAATCTTGGCTTGGATTCAAAGGTTGCACATTTTGGTGTGGACTTTTAGATAACAGGGAAGCCAAAATATAAAATAAAGGTAAAGGTAAAGGGACCCCTGACCATTAGGTCCCGTCGTGGCTGACTCTGGGGTTGCGGTGCTCATCTCGCTTTATTGGCCGAGGGAGCTGGTGTACAGCTTCTGGGTCATGTGGCCAGCATGACTAAGCCGCTTCTGGCGAATTAGAGCAGTGCATGGAAATGCCGTTTACCTTCCTGCTGGAACAGTACCTATTTATCTACTTGCACTTTGACGTGCTTTCGAACTGCTAGGTTGGCAGGAGCAGGGACCGAGCAACGGGAGCTCACCCCATTGCGGGGATTCGAACCGCCGACCTTCTGATCGGCAAGCCCTAGGCTCTGTGGTTTAACCCACAGTGCCACCCACATCCCTAAAATATAAAATAACCAGCAGCAAATATATATATGCTATTATTGTTTTTATTATTCTTCAGTAACAGTGGCTTGGATCCAAAGGTCCCTTTGTGCAAGTATCACCACATGCGCACAGCAAGGCTCGCTGATTACACACACACACACACACACACACACACACACACACACACGTTTCTCATGTCTATGAAGATCAGGGGACCCTCCAGAGCTGCTTTTTGGGGAAATCCGGGGGGTGGGGACTTCCCCATCAGCAGAAGTGTCTCCCACTGACACAGCAACATCGTTGGGTCCAAGCTGCTGTTAGTCACTAACCGTTAATTTATCTATTATAATCATCATTATGTATTTGCTTTATTTGTCATTGTTTTTTATTCCAGTCTTTGCCTGTTCAGAATAAAACCTATTTCCTTTCAACTTCAAACTGCTTGAAGTTGGAATTGATACTATTGAAAGAGCAGAACAGGCTTTTCTAGAAATTGTTTTCATTTTAATGTTATTTTTTTACTATCTTGTTCTCATTTCCTCTGAGGAAAATATAAATGGGGCGGCCCATTTATTTAATTAAAAAAATAAACAGCAGCACAGGCTTTTTCACTGCGTGAAAGCTCAAGTAAAACTTTGAATGGCAAACATGCTCTGTGAACGCTGTATATATTACTCATGAGAAATCCAAATGAGTTTTTTTAGGGATCTGGTCAAATATTAAGCAAGACTTAGTCATACTCAAGAGCAAACCTATTGAAATTGGTCATTAATCATAACTAATTGACTCCCAGTGGGTTTACTCCAAGTATGACTGAGGCTGGATCCAGCCCTTTGTGCCATAGAAACAAAAGGCTTACTCATTTCACTAGAGACCTGAAATCAATTGGATTTCACATGATTTCATGTCCTCATAAGGGATAAACTGCCATTACTTTGTGGCCATTCTTTAATAAGACACAGTGGAGCAGGCACTAGAAAACTGCCATATGCAGGCTTAACTTGAATTCTTATATATAAAATAAAACAAAACCAAGAAAATGCTCTTGTAAATAAATTCATGTAACTCTCAATATATGCATACCTCTGAATTATATGTGACTGAAAAAGTCCCCCCCCCTTTCCCCCAAACAGCTTGGCTGTGAGGAAACACTCTGATTTACATGTTAAATTAATGACTTGTTTTACAAATGAGTATCAACCTGTTCTATAGGGCAACCAGTTGAAGACGGCAAGTCTGTGGTGAAAATACCATTTTTCTCCACTAGAGGGTGGCTTCCACCTACCACACTTCTTAAATTTCAAGAAGGGAGGACACCGCATTTTCATTCAGCTAGTTAGGAAAATGTCAATTCCACCTCTCCTGATGTCAGCCGAAAAAATTGCTATTTATAAGAATAAGATGAAGCCCTATAAAGGCAAAGGAGAGTCTTCCCCCATGTGCAGGTCACCTCTAAATTAACAAACAAAAAGTTTTTATTTTCTGTAACTTTCTTTTTTAAATGCAAGTTCGGAATAGGTTTTTAACACACAAATGAAACGACCAATTTCCTTCCCTGCATACCAGCCGCCAGGAAAACCAGTTATGCTATGAGCAAGGGTACGAGGGTAACTAACCCATTAACCAGAGGCCTTGGAAAAGGTGAGAAAGTGGTGATAGAGAATACAATGGTCCTGATCTAATAACCAGAGGCCTTGGAAAAAGTGAGAAAGTGATGCACCCTCAAGTTATGGACGTGATACTAGGAGAGAGGACTTGTATACAGGGGTTGATGATTCTCACGTGATATGCCAGATTAATAAATAACCAGGTATAAAATGCACAAGGGACCCAGGTGGCGCTGTGGGTTAAACCACAGAGCCTAGGACTTGCTGATCAGAAGGTCGGCAGTTCGAATCCCCGTAACCGGGTGAGCTCCCATTGCTCGGTCCCTGCTCCTGCCAACCTAGCAGTTCGAAAGCACAAAGTACAAGCAGATAAATAGGTACCACTCTGGCGGGAAGGTAAACGGCGTTTCCATGCGCTGCTCTGGTTCGCCAGAAAGCAGCTTAGTCATGCTGGCCACATGACCCGGAAGCTGTACGCCAGCTCCCTCGGCCAATAAAGCGAGCCGAGCACTGCAACCCCCAAGTCAGCCACGACTGGACGTAATGTAAAATGCACTTCCGGGTATAAAATGCAACTGTATTTGGGGGAGGGGGTTGCCAGTACAGAAACATTTGCAAGCAGGAAAGGGTGGATCCAAAGAGACACTGTTCTTACTTTTAATCAAGTGTGAAAAAAGGGAACAGAAGTGCACCCACTGGCCGGGTCTTCACAGTGGAAGATGTGAAACAGGTCCTGTGTGCAGTTGTATATAGTGTAACAGTCTGATCACAGAGGGGCTCTCACCACATGGAAGGACTTATGCACAAACAGCTGTACAGAGAAGCTTTTACACTGAATGAATGGGCTGAGCCAGTGAACCCATTTCCCATTTCACTCAGTTCAATGAACACACACACAAATGGAAAGGAAAACAGGGTTAATGTCTCCTAATATGGATCCCCTTCACCTTCATCTCATTCATCTCTTTCCGTGAATTATCGCAGTTTAGTGCTTTCAGGCAACACATTAATTCAGAAGCATGAGTGACCTGATCACTATTCGGAACGACCAACATTCTGCCTCCAACCAATGTTGAGCTAACCACCTGTAAAAATTCATACATCAGCTTTTTTCATGCATCTCATCTTACGATCCCTGAAAGCCCTGCCAAAATATGAATCCCATTTTCAGACTTGCAAAATATATTTCATTTGTGAAAAGTGCTACATAGCTAAATATTACCAATTCCATCCCGTAATGAATACATAATAATTAGGTAAATATGCAGATGTCAGCATGGCCTGCAAACCTTGCAAGTTTGCCTGCATATTTGGTACCGTAGGTGTGGTGGCTTGAGGCACATCTCTCCATGTGAATAATTCCACAAGGCCATCTGCAAAATGCCGTGAGCATTTAACTATTTATGTAGAAGAGCTGCAGCTCAGTGGTACAGCATCTGCTTTTCATGTAGAAGGGTCCCAGAAACCCTGTTCCATGTTCAGGAACAAGAGGCTGGAGTCCTTTGTCTTTGTCACAAAAGGGTGACATCAAGCAGCGGAAATCATGTCACATGTTTTACGTTCAAAACCAGACTTTGGTTTAAGAGTAATGACTGTCCGGGAGTATAGCCTGCTGGACCAGGAGTTTAGCTGCAGTACTGAGTCCCTGATTGCCAGCTCTCAAATACTGATGTCATCACTGGCAGAACAGAATCACATGTAAGACATGTTTCGGAAAGACTGCCTCTCATTGCCCCTGCCAACCTCTGAACATAATTTCAATAGAGCTTCTTAAAAGGATTGCAGACATCTTTGCAAATCAAGCACGTGCTAAGTGTTTCTTACCAAGTGGTTATCTGAGTATCTGAATATGCATAAGAGGGAAGCCTACAAAAGGGGGGGCGGCGGGAACAATGCACAGGCCTCTTTGACAGTGGCATCTTTGCAGTAAAAAAGAGGAAATGACCTCGTGAATTTGCCTTTCTGCTTTTTCTCCTCTTTCTCCAAACAATGGAGCTTTTTGATGCTCAACACATCTCCCTCTTAAATCCTCTGCATGTGTAACTCAGAGCCCTGCATACTATTTCATATTATCAGTAGCTCCAAGGTACCTTTAGAGCACATGTACCTTTTTCCTTTATGCATGAAGAACTGCTTGAAGATCAGAGTGTATCTCAAAGCACGAACAAAAAACCTCCGAAACCACAGTTGCATCAGGAAGCTCAGAAGCTGCTCTCTTGGCAGCCTTGATGCTGTATGTTGCACACTAAAAGAAACAAAAGCCATGCTGCCACCTTTCTTTCCCATTGCTTGCTGCCTAGAAAATACCAGTCTGACTGCTAGCCAGCAAGCAACTGAACACTATTTCCAACATGCTAAAATATCTTGCTGTGGATTTGCAGGAGGGATGGAGGGAACTAAACAGAATTTATAGGTTTCTTTCTTCCCTGATTCATCCATGATAAACAGCACAGGCAATACATCTTAGCCAGCTGTCCCATGAAAAGCCCTTTCAAAGACACTTCTTGGGAACACCATTAGCAAATCATTATTTTCTGTTATGGGGTGTGGAAGATTGGTAGAGCATCTGCTTTGCGTGCAGGAGGACCCAGCATCAGTTCTCAGCATCTCCAGGTAGGACTGGGAGAGACACACCTGGAACCCAGGAGAGCTGCTGGCAGGCAGAGTAGAAAATACTGAGCAGGATGGACTAATGGTCTGACTCAATATGAGGCGGTTTCCAATGTTCCTATGTGGGAGCCTTTTTCAGCCTGAGAGCTGTATTTCCCCCATGGCCAAGTTTCTGAGAGCCACATGCAGGTGGTGATCAGGGCCACTCCAGTGTGGCCTGAATTTCTGAGAGAATGGGTGAGGCTTGTGTGAAACCACTGCTTTCCGGGGTCACCTGCAGCCACTGAGCCTGTCACTCTTTATTCCATCCATCAAATATTATCTTAATGAAAGTCACAGAAGGGCAAAACTGTGAAAAATGTGTTGAGAGTGTGGAAGGGAAGAGAACAATTAAGAGTCACACTGAAAGACCTACACTGGCTCCCAGTACGTTTCCGAGCACAATTCAAAGTGTTGGTGCTGACCTTTAAAACCCTAAACGGCCTCGGTCCAGTATACCTGAAGGAGCGTCTCCACCTCCCATCGTTCAGCCCGGACGCTGAGGTCCAGTGCTGAGGGCCTTCTGGTGGTTCCCTCGCTGCGAAAGCCAAATTACAGTGAACCAGGCAGACGGCCTTCTTGGTAGTGGCACCGGCCCTCCCACCAGATGTCAAAGAGAAAAACAACTACCAGACTTTTAGAAGACATCTGAAGGCAGCCCTGTTTAGGGAAGCTTTTAATGTTTAATAGGTTATTGTATTTTATGATGGGCGGGGTATAAATAAGTTGTTGTTGTTGTTGTTGTTGTTATAGCACCATTCCTGCTCAGAAAGCTCTCCCCCCACCCCAATAATTAGCACTGGACCTTTTTTATGGGGAAGGGACACTTAGCATGGGCATAAGAAGCAAAGTGACTAGAAACACACAAAAGGAGCACAAATATAAACTCAGAAATATTCCGCAGCTAGGAGGAAATATATATGTTGCAAGAGATATTATTCAAATTGCTACTATGCCCACCCCTGGAAAACTTATACACCAACACGCATTTCAAATAAATTAAAGCCGCAATTTGATAACTGGCTGCCCTTTTAAGCTGAAACTCTACACTCTTGACTTGATACTGAGTTTAAAAGTCACACCGAATTTGGTCAGTTCCAACTCTGTTCCTTAAGTCTGCACTATGATCGGCATCGACACAAATGCACTTATCATTTGTTCTGCTTTTCATCACTTTACTCCAACGGTCCTCAGTGACCTGAGAGCAAGAGCACCACAGATCCTAAAAGGCGAAAGAGAGCAAGGGAAGCATTTGATCGGCAGCAGTACCACAAAGATCACATAATCAAGTTCTTCCATCCCTGCTAAAGCCTGAAAGGGAAAAGTAGGATGCTGGTTTAGAAAATAGCCCTTTACACTATGTAGAACTGCTGTGAGAGCTCCAACCTTTACTATTTTGTCACTGCAGCTTTTTTTAGCTGAATACAGAACAGACAATGAATCAGCATGTTTCCACCACCTTTACCCTATATTGTTGTGAGTGCGGGAAGTTAGTCTGCATTGATGAATGAATTCCTTCTAATTCCTGGGCTCCTGGATATAGCAAGAGCTAAAATCTAATGAAGGGTTCCATTGTTGCACTAGTCAGGCAAGTTTCTTTGGGAGTTAAAGGTCCTAAGGACCATCTAAAAAAAGAATACAGTATAGGTAGAGACTATTTTACGTGCGTCAGATATGTGCGTGACTACACATTGCGCCAAATCTAGAAGTGACCCAAAAATGACACCGGAGGGGGGGGCAAGGGAGTGGCAGAATGGTTTTTTGCAGGGCTTTTCAATGGTGTTTCAAATACACACAATCTCACTTAAACGCATGGTGCCTTGGAACATAACCACCGCATAAACAGGGAGTTGCCTGTATAACAAAAGAGGCTGCTCTTTGTCCTCGGAGCAAATGGGTGGGCCTTTTCCCCTCCTCACCTGGCTGATACTTGGAAGAAAGTAGGCAGCAGCCAGAGAGACAGAATTATGCTTGATTTTTGCTATACAGTGGTACCTCGGGTTAAGTACTTAATTCATTCTGGAGGTCTGTTCTTAACCTGAAACTGTTCTTAACCTGAAGCACCACTTTAGCTAATGGGGCCTCCCGCTGCTGTTGTGCCGCCACTGCACGATTTCTGTTCTCATCCTGAAGCAAAGTTCTTAACCTGAAGCACTATTTCTGGGTTAGCGGAGTCTGTAACCTGAAGCGTATGTAACCTGAGGTACCACTGTATTCCAAGGCTGTGACTATGACAAAAGCAAAACCTTGGGGGGGGGTTGTTAATGCTGTGAGACCATCCATATTAGGCTCAGGCTGTAAATATGTGTAAATAAACCACATATCATAAGGCATCACCATCTCTGCTGTCTCACATTCCAAAGAAACAGAAACCTGGCTAAGTGTCTGGAATCTCGCACTGCGCAGAGACTGGGGTAGTGTGCAACAATATGTTCTTTACAATGCACAGCCTCTCATGTCAAAATGGTTGTAAAACCTACTATTTCATGGGTACTGTGCAACATAAAAGGTAAAGGTACTCCTGCCCATACGGGCCAGTCTTGACAGACTCTGGGGTTGTGCGCCCATCTCACTCAAGAGGCCGGGGGCCAGCACTGTCCGGAGACACTTCCGGGTCACGTGGCCAGCGTGACAAAGCTGCATCTGGCGAGCCAGAGCCGCACACGGAAACACCGTTTACCTTCCCGCCAGTAAGCGGTCCCTATTTATCTACTTGCACTTAGGGGTGCTTTCAAACTGCTAGGTTGGCAGGCGCTGGGACCGAGCAACAGGAGCGCACCCCGCCGCGGGGATTCGAACCCCCGACCTTTCGATCGGCAAGCCCTAGGCGCTGAGGCTTTTTCCCACAGCGCCACCCGCGTCCCATAACTACACATTGCAACATAGTCATATTATAAAGCATGTTTTTTTCAATTTTCTGCAAATACAAATAACATACAGCTGTAATCACCTCATCCAGCTATTTTTCCTCCTGTGATGAGTAAAACCTGCATCTGTAAAAGTAAGGTGTTTTGGTGTGTGTTTTCAAATCACATTGCTACTTAATTTAGTGTTATCACTTTAAAATTGGTATCCTGGAACAGTATTGTTAAAATGTCAGATCAGATACCAGACAAGCTATACAGAAAACAATTTGCATGTTCATTCTGTGTGGGGTTTTTTAAAAATTCAATATAGAATGCATTAATACCTATCATTATAGCACACTGAAACTAAATGCATTGCCGGCATGCATATACTAAAGAGGAAAAAGGAAGCAATTTCCACCTACATGTTTCTCGATGCCAAGAGCATCTGACGGAATGCAGGAGGGCCATACAAACCTGGGATACAGAGACATTTGTAACTTGTTCCGACACTGCGGCAGATGCCATGGGCACAAGGATTGAGAGCGCAGAAGTCAATCAGCTGGGCACAGGTAGGTCCTGTAAATCCTGGGCTACAACTGCAAGAATAGGAAAGCCGGTCTGTGTAACAGGTCCCATTGTTTTTGCAAGGAAATGAAGCACAGGCATCTACTTTTTCCTCACAAGATGTTCCCAGGTACCCTAAAACAAAACAAGTGGAACTTATTTGCATGCACGCATTTCATTTACCAAACCTTTGTCAAAGCATGGAGCCTTAAGACCATTTAAAAACAGATTTTTTGGGGGGGGCTAGAGTTATCCTAACACATGCTTAAATACAGATACAAGGACTGCCTCTCCCCATATAAATCGACTTGGACCTGAAATTATCATCTGAGGTTCTTCTTCATGTGCCTCCTCCACAAGAGGTCCAGAGAGCAGCAACATGAGAACGGGCCTTTTCTGTGGTGGCTCCCCGTTTGAGGAATGCTCTCCCAAAGGAAGGCCTGCCTGGTGCCTTCACTGAATAGGCAAAAGTGTTTCTCTATTACCATGACTTGGGCTGATTAACATTCTATGGTCTTTTAAATGTGTTTGTGGAAGGGGAATTATTGGTTTGTTTTTGTTTTATTATGTATTTTGTGTTCTCATTTTGTATTTTTACACCCTATGATCTTCAGATAAAGGGTGGTATACAAATGTAATAAATAATAATAATATCCACACAACCTAAATGTAAATGGAGGGTCACAGCTAACACTCTCTCCTCTCAGCTAAGGACACCAAATACATTCATAAGGATGCGTGTTCATGGAATTTTCCACAGTATGCCCTTCATCTGAAATATTTATTAAAATATGCTTGCATTACGCCCATGATAAAACCTTCAAGCTATTCTACCGCTGATCTTTGTTTCAGATAAGTTTCTTTATTCTCCCCACAATGATGTATCTGCTACTAAATATGGCCTCCTCCCCTAAGTGCTCCTGAACTTCATGGTAGAATTCAGCTATTCTTTCTCGAATTATCCATTCACTCTTCCCTCTGATGTATTAACACAGTGATTCCCATATGCTTTCAGTTCGCTGTGGAACATCAAGAAAAAAATTGTGTTTCTTTTCTTATGCTCTTTGATGCTGGCCGCCATCTTTGCAACCAATGTTCATTCTAAGCCTTATTGAACTATAAATAAATGCACTGATTAGGTATTTACAGAAATACCTATTTTGTTGGCAATGTTGCCACAAAAAGCTCCCACAGGTGGATTTAAAACCAGTATTAAAAACCAGTCTGTATCTGTATTGGATTAGAAACTTATATGCTTTTATTGTTGATGTTTGGTGGAACGTGAACCATTAATTAATTAACAGTAGATTTCCAGACAAGTCAAGCCAATGGAAAAATAAATGCTCGGGTGGAAGAACGTCACAGTATAAACATGAAAAACTGCAGGAAAAAAACACATTTAAGCACTGCATTTATTAGCAGTTTTTGATATTTACACTTCCTTCACCAACAAAATGGAAGGAGGGAGAGAGGAAGCCTTCAGGATATGAATATTATTGGTAATAAGAAGTGTGATGAAAGCTTGAAGCTCACTAAGGTTTAATGAGACTGCAAATCTACCACTGGCAAGGAACAAACAGGAAATGGCAAAATAACAACAAATATAAATATCATTGTTCAAGAAATATGAAGATTTTTTTTTTTTTTTTTTTTGCTGACATGACATTTGAATTAAAGTTGCAATATGTGGAGAAATCAGTAAAATAACTGAATAAGGTGATACCCTAATCCAGCTGCAGTGCAGCAGGAGACTGTTACTAAAGTGAATCCAGGAAATGTTTTACAGATTAGAGAGCACCATAATGAGTACAGATTCATTATCAAGAAGGGGCTTAATTATTTGGCTTGGTAATGCTCAATAGCAGTTAATAGCCTTAGGAGGGAATCATTCACCGTACTGCATTTTTAGAGAGGGTGCAGCATTGCTTTGTTAAGTGTCTGGTGATCACACTGGATATTTAATCCTAGAAACATATAGCCACACATGATAAATGAAGCTAGCATCTAGGATTAGTGATTATAAAATATTCAGATATGAAACACACAGTTGGGTACATCAAGCAAGCAAACAAGACAAATGGTTTTTATTTTTCCTTTACAAAAGTCAAATGGAAACACAAAATTCACATCACAGGAAAGAAGTAATCAAAACCGGAACAAAAATTTGCAAGAACTGGGTCTAAAAGCAACAAAGAGTAGACTTATACACCCCAGATGAAGTCAATATATTATCTTTTTTTTAAAATTTCATTTGCATGCCACTCTTCCTTCATGAGGTTATCCTATTTAATGCAGTGAACCTCATGGTAAAACAGGAATTTGACTCCAGGTTCCATGGGCCCCAAACCAATCAATTACAAGATAGAATATAAAGGAATAATAATAATTAAAAAAACAACAACAGAGGAGTTTCAACAGTAGTAAATGATCAGCTAATACAAATGTGTTCTGCAAATACTGTATATTCACAAGTTGTTTCAGGGAGCGTATAAGAATGTTGCATTTTCTAATTCTGATATGCAGCAGGTTATGCCTGCAGTACATTAGGAACAGATGGATAACTGAGTTAGAAGGGGGATATTAATGGCTGATGGCTGCAGGGGCAGACTGACAATTTGCTGAGCTACGAGCAAGCTGCCTGTTCCCTTTAAGCAGTGAGAAGACACTGGATGCATACTGGTGGAAAGCGTTACCCAACATGGTGTTGAATTTTTATTTCTGAATCACAGAGGACTGGCAATCAAACCGAACTAGTCTTTTTCTGACCAATTTCTAATATATGGACTCCATAGATAATATTCACTGGATCATATTTTTGCAAGCTCTTGTAACTAGCCCAAACTATAGCATGAAAGGCTTTATGGAAATAATTTCACCTGATTCCCATAGTGAATGCAAAACTCAAAACATTAAGAAAGTTTGCTTGTCTGAATCTAAATCCTGATTCACTCTGGACTTTGGTAATATGGCACCAAGAGTGAGGACAAAATTTGGTGCTCCACCAATTATTCCTTATTTTCACAATAATTCTTTTTGGTACAGTTGCTTTTTTTATGGGTCTTCTCAGCAGCTACTCATATAAATACAGATTATGATGATTTTGCACTCCCTTGTTTTGACGTCCTCTGCGGAGGAACTGCCTGCACCACCCTAAATCTCTAAATCTGGCAATGCTGGCCTTCTTGAGTACTGTGCTCATTGTTGAACTGGTTGCTTTTTCTTTAATAACATTCAATGGTCTGAGTGCAACTGAAACTTCAGAGCTGCCCATATGTGCCTAGAGTTTAAATCAAGCCATGTTCGTCAACCTGAGAAGGTAGCTCATATTGAAGATGGAAAACCATGGATCCTAGTTCATCATGGCTAGTTATCACTTACAGCCTTTTTCTCCATGAGCTTGTCTAAATTAGTTATTATTTTTAAAAGGTTTTATTACAATGAAGCCGGAGATAAATCTTATGCTATAAAATAATAATAATAATCTTTTAAACCCATTCAAGTGGCGGCCACATAACAAAACGGTAATCTAAAATTAAGGGGCTGTAGTAAATGTTGCAGCAACAAAGTAGACATTATTTCAAGCACACAGAGACATAGAATAACCTTGAAGATAACTGAGGGAATCCCATACTGTAAAGGCTCAAAACCAATGGAATCCACTCAGGAGGTTCCTGCATTCTAGCATTCTGAGAGAGAGAGAGCACTATTAATTTGCCCATAAATCATCTCAACCACTTTCATAAGGGTTTCTGTCATTAACCTGAGATTTTAACTAATCAAACATGGCAGGTGGAAAACTATTTTAAAAAATGAAGTTCACATTCAAATCTAAGCCTTGCTCGGCTTGGAGGTCAAATATGGAACGGCAGAAATTCAAAGTGAAATGAATGCACCTAGTCTCCTTAATATATTATACAACTGAAACATGATGCTTAACAGGAATTACAGAAGTATTTAAGCATGAGTTGCTAAATCTGAAACTTATCTTTACCAATTCTTTTTTATCATTCTCTCTCCAATGCTCTCCAATGCCTTCTCTATGTTAATTGCTTGAGAATCTTGCCTTCCTCATTTCCTGCAGCTCAAGAGTTTGGCACCTTGCCCACAGATCTGATCTTTATGATGCAAATGGGTCATGCACTAAAACTTCTTTATTAGCTCCTTTTATCATCTGTTCTCACCACATATTTCATGCTTCTATTACGTGCTGCACCTCCCCAAGCAGGGGGGCAGCTCTGGTTTATTTTAGATGAGATACGGAGAACCAGAATTTGAATTAAAGGATGGTGGGGAAAACAGACAAGTCCCCCTACATCCTATAATGGCTCCCACTATTTTTTTTAAGACATGGGAAGGCCGTGGCTGGGCTACAGTAGGGGTGGTGGAATCGGGAGGTGCCTTCAGTTGGAAGCAAATCCACTTACCTTGTATCAGGTTCCGAGAAAGCTATACATCTAGTTCTACCTAATTGCAGCTATACTTTCACATCTCTCTACTTCCCTCCTCCTAACTAAATTCAAGCAAGAAGAAGAAGAAGAAGAAGAAGAAGAAGAAGAAGAAGAAGAAGAAGAAGAAGCAGCAGGAGCAGCCTGGTTGTTCATCATTAATTCCCTGTCAAACACATGTCCCAGACCCCACATCTGCAAACAAATTGCCCAGCACTAACTGAGCACCACTAATCTTATTTTGTCAAGTCCTCAACTGCCAATCATGCAAATTATAGTAAGAGACTTATTTATAGGAATCAAGTCACAGCACCTCCTTCCTCTTTTTCCCTTTCTCCCAAAGTTATTCATTTCCATCATTACTTCATTTTATTTTACAGTAACTGTACATTGCTTCTCCCAAACTCCAGGGCTTTTGAGTGTATTCTAGCCCATGGTCTATGTTTTCCCAGGGAGCCGAAAATTAGCATTTCAGAGTGCACAATCTCTTCTCAGCATGTAGCTACAATTAAGCACAATGAAGGAAAGCAAGATTTTCCCCAGAGAAGGACTCCTTTTCCCTGAAAATTTCAGGGCAGTCTAAAAATAGCCATATGTGCAACTTAACACACCTGCTTTTCCAAGCTGCTATCTCTCAGACAAATGCAATGTGTCTGTATTTTAATCTCACTTCCCACCCCAAGCCTCAAAATAAAGGCAATGGAGTGGGTGATGGCACGCAAGAGAAAGCTAATTCTCACGAGAGGTGAAAAGGGGAGAAACTAAATTGATGTGATTTTTCCCCCCAGTGTGAACGATTGAATGCATTGTTTTCTTTGCCAAATTATTATCTTCTAGCAGTTATCAGCACTAGACCACTATGCTTAGGCTATTTTGCAGTATAAGGTCAATTAGGCAACATATTTAGAGTAGCTAACAGGAGACCTGTGGCACCATTCTATTGTACAGGTAATTGCCATAACACAAAAAAATGCTCTGTCCCAGACCTCTGCAAGAAAATTTTGTTGCAAGTCAATAATGACTGGCAGCTGTTACAATGTTCGCTTGGAAACATGTCTTTAAACATGTCTGCAGATCCATGTAAAAGGAATAAACACATCAGGAACATGAACAACCGGTGTTCTCCAGGTGTTGCCGTATTCAAAACTCTCATCGGCCCCAGCTACTAAGGCATTGGTCAGGGATGATGGGAGTTGTAGTCCAGCAGCTTCTGGAAAGCACATTTTCTGCTTCTGACCTGGGGGGAATTGTTTCCCACCGCAACCCTGGAGTACAGTCTTGGTTTGGGTTTGGCTAGCCAAATGCCTGTGGAAAGCCCACAAGCAGAACATAACTGTAGAAGCCATTTTCTTATCTGGCATCGTCAGCAAACTTGGCCACCTCACTGCTCGCTCCAGGTCAAGTTAAAAACCACTGGCCTCAATACACCATGGGTAATAATTTAGTTAAGACAACAGAGTGCTCACAGGAAGAGGAGGAGAGACATAGGGAGAGGAAACAGGATGCCAGCGAAGCTTGTAGAGAAGGAGGCCCTATGGAAGGCAAGAATGAATTCAGGAAAGGAAAAAGAAATTCTATGGAACTCTGGTATTCTAAGACAACTATGGGTTTTAGTGTTAAAAGCTTAGAAAAGAGTGGGGAGGTCTTCAAAAGGTGACTGCAAAAATATTGCTTAACAAGAGAGGGTCATCTTGACTTACAGAAAGAAGTACCTAAGATCTCAGGTTTCTCAAAGTCAGTAGTAATGTGATACAGTGATGCTTGACTGGAGGTTTGATATTAATGATCTCCTGAGATCCTACACTACCTGAATAATGAGGTGAAGATACAACCTTGCTTGTGCTAATAGAGGGTTTCCACCAAGAAACTTAAACTTTGATTTGCTCTGTGCAGCTAGGTATCTTTTAGCTCACAGTCATTCAAACAACAAGGGAAATGGTTTGAGCCAAGGTGCTAGAAGCTTCTGGAATTCTTTTGTCAGTGGTTTTGCTGACCTGCAAGCGCTGTGCTGTTCACCAGCTGCCCTCTCAGCATTACCAAGCCCCAGAGCTAACTGAGGTCTGGATGACATGGTCTATAAAAAAAAATATGCCACAGTAAGTCAAGAAGGGATGCTCATATTAGTGAATTTCTTGAGTAGAACTGGAGGGGGTGGGGAACACAACCCACCTTGAATGAGGTCAAAAATTGTATATCCAATTTTCTTTTGTAATAACACAAGCATATATTTTGTTAAAATAAATTTGGAGCGAATAGCTTTAGGAAGCCAATTCAGGTTTGGCTAAGTGCCAATATCCGATCGTCTCACCAAGTGCTGTTACTATTTATATACTCACTGGGGGAAGCAGAGGAGGCACAAAAATAATTCAAAATGCCAGATATAAACTGCTGACCTTGTGTCAGTTTCTAGGTCTCTGCCTAGCTATTAAGTGGGTCACCCATTTTACTCCAACGAGAAATAAGAGTCCAGTGTTAAACCATTAAAGAACACTTTAATTGTTAGGCCGGGATATGGTATAAAAAGAGAAAAGAAGAAGTCTTGATCCACAATACAGCCCAGGTATACAAGAAATAATGCTGTGCTTTGATAAAAGGAACAGACTGGAAACAGCAATGTCTTTAGCCCTGGGTGAAATTCTGAATCAACATTTTAGCACCGATGACTAATATGAAGGCTTTATTATTGAAAGCTTCCATAAAAGCTGAGAGCAAATCAACTTACACAACAGGCATTTCCAGGCAGAAACAAGCTACAAAAAAATTATGCTTCCTGCCATCACACAATGTTCCCATTTGACACATCTCTGGCATGAATTTAGGAAGATGAAATCTGCTGGGTGATCCTAGGGCCCTGCTTTGCTAGACAGCTGCTACATAAAGGCTAACGTTGACAAAGCTTACATCACAATCCCCTGCACTTGCAATGGCACAGTCAACTCCACAATTGTTGTATAAAAACAGAAGCCAATACAGCAACACTGATAGACGCACCCACATATGTAGCAACCCCACCGCCATCTATGAACGATGAGGTTACTCACTTCATGGCAACAATCCCACACTACTCAACACAGAGACCGTAGGCTGTCCAAGTGCAAGTGTGTGCATGCACATCACAACAACCAGGCAGGGCAAAATAGCACACCATGTCCGGGAAGATCTGTGTTGTCTGGAGATACTACTAATGGTGTGTAGCGGCTGGCTGTAGAGTTAGTCAGGATCCTATTAACCTGGTTATTTCTTGATCCCAGGACACATATGCTTCGTGAGTCTGCTGCATTTATTTATTTCTGTAGCACACTGCATCATATTCAGTTGGATACATGGCTATAATTGTAAATATTGCTGAAGGTAATCAAACTGCAATTTTCAATGGCAAATTAATTGAAGTATGGTGGCACCTGCCCTTTGAAATTCACTCCCATGACAATATTCAACAGTCACCATCCCTGCTGTTTTTCAGTGTATATAGAAGACCTTTCTCTTTCAATAAAACTTTTACGTGGAGAACTTTATCCTAGTCTGAATCAGTAGAGGAGCTATTACATATGTGTGTGTGTGTGGAATTGTTTTTAATTGCTTTTACATTTACCTTGTTTTATGGCTGCCACTGTTCTATAACTGAGAAAGTTGAGATCTTTACCAGTCTGCATCTGTATTCTAAGAAGTTTTTATTGTTTTATCACTTGTTTGCTGCCCTGGGCTTGTTTGGGAGGAAAGGTTGTATATAAATTTAACGAAAAAATAAACAATTGTGTAGTTCATCATTATAACCCATCCTGGGACCTTATGATAAAAGGTTGATAATAAATCTAACAGACTAAAAAAAATGCATGAGTGAATAATAAATAAATAAGCAGGCAAGCAAGCAAGCATGTGTGCAAGGCACACACATATTACACCAACCAGGCAGACCAAAATAGCACCTTTCCAGGGAAGACCATCCCAGAGGAGATCAGTGTTCTCTGGCGGTGGTCTTCTATATTACTCATTGGCTGCGGAGTTATTCACAGTCTTATTATCCTGCCTATTTGCTGATCCTAGGAACCACATACTTCATGAGCCTGCTTGCATTCCCCATCTTTTCCTAACACACTGCATCAAATTCAGTTGAGTATCATTGAAAAATACTGTATTTACTGATGATAATAAATTGCAACTTGCTGGATAAGATATGCCGTGAAATTCATTAAGCATAAGATTTTAAATTCTAGACAAGGAGAGACAAAGTGCAACCTGAAGTGCTGCTTCAGGTTTTCCCTAATTACTCTAAGGAGTCAGTAAACCGGACTATAGAGACATAAATACCCCAACACAAGCCTTCTTAAAGATGGCAACATTTATTGCTTACCTTCCGGACACTGGCAGCTGAATCCGCCAACATTAGAAATGCAGGTACCTCCATTTTGACATGGCTGTTGACTGCAGTAGTCAATTTCTGACTGACACAGGACTCCAGTATATCCTTCAGCATGATGGAATGGTTTGTTTTGAATCACAGAGACAAGGAGAAATTGGAAGCAGTTTATTGTTAGGTCTGAACACAAGCAGAATGCTGCAGATGGTCTTAGCTAGGGACAGAAAATTTCATCCTGTCTGCATTTTTAAACAAGCCAACCTGATTTATACCTCACACACTAATAATTGGACTGGACTGTAATTATCCTTCAGATTTTGCACCTATCTTAATTTTGTGATACAGTTCTGGGCCAAATGAAAAAATAACAAAATGCGGGGGTGGGGGGGACATGCATTTGGGAAAACGTTTCGAAATGTGCACACTGAGGTAAAATTCATATTTTTTATATACAGTGGTGCCTCGCAAGACGAAATTAATTCGTTCCGCGAGTTTTGTTTTGCGATTTTTTTCGTCTTGCGAAGCACGGTGTCGGGAAAGTTTTGGAAAAGCTTCAAAAACCTCAAAAAGCTTTAAAAACCTCAAACAGCTTTAAAAACCTCAAAAAAGGCTACCACACCGCGTTCTATGAGTTGCTCCTCGAAGTCAAGTCGCAACTGTATTAACGGTGTTAAGAAAAAGGAAACAAACTTGCAAGACGTTTCCGTCTTGCAAAGCAAGCCCATAGGGAAAATCGTCTTGCGAAGCAGCTCAAAAAACAAAAAACCCTTTCGTCTAGCGAGTTTTTTGTCTTGCGAGGCATTCGTCTTGCGAGGTACCACTGTATAGTGATAAAATAAGTACAGTGGTACCTCAGGTTACATACGCTTCAGGTTACAGACTCCGCTAACCCAGAAATAGTGCTTCAGGTTAAGAATTTTGTTTCAGGATGAGAACAGAAATCGGGCTCCGGCGGAACGGCGGCAGCAGGAGGCCGCATTAGCTAAAGTGGTGCTTCAGGTTAAGAACAGTTTTAGGTTAAGTACGGACCTGCGGAACGAATTAAATACTTAACCTGAGGTACCACTGTATTTAAATTCAGAGAGAGATAAACACACGGGGGGGGGTTAACTTATGTGTGAATGGAGTGAACCTGACATGGACTGGCAATCGCTTGTCTTAACTATGGATTAGGGAACCAATCCAACTTCAAACCATGGTTTACAACCCTAGATTGGCTTTTGGTAAGGCTGTCAGTACCTATTAGCCATGGTGGCTATGCTCATTAATACCAGTTAATGGAAAGAGTGTTCATGTGCTCAGGAGGGAAGAGTGTTTATATGCTCACTCTTTTCCCACAGCCATCTATCTGGTTGACCATGGTGAGAATAGGATGCTAGCCTAGGTGGGCCACTTATCTAATCCTGCAGGGTCATCTTTTGTCCTTATGGTGGAGGAAGTTTGGGCATGGAAAAACTTGCCTCTCGTGTTCCAGCCTCCCCAATTTCTATATCGAGTCTAACATAGGAGAATTATGCTACTATCACTTCCAGATACTTTCAAACTAAAGTCTGGATTTGTTTACAATAGCTTCTGAAGCAAAAACAAAAAACCCACTTGAAATGACTGAGGAGGCGTTCCATTTTTATTTTTCTCTCAGATATTGTTATGGTCAAGCTATATTCATGTCTACTGAATGAACAGATTTCACTCACTTATGAACTTAACTATACAGTTCATTCAAGGAACTCTACTTCAAGTTCAATTACAGACTAATTTATCTCCTCAAATGTACTTTGCAGTTAATAGAATTTAAAGCATTACTTAACTATATTTACATATCTTTCTTGTTAAGGCTATGCTTGGGTGCATTTGCATATTTATATTAAATGTAACAGATTAAGACATACGTGCATCGAGAGTTAATTTCCTCCAACCACCAGTGTTTAACTCAGGTTCAAAATGTTAATATAAACTATTTGTCTGTATTTATAAAGTGGAGGTGAGGGATTGAAATGTAGTACAGAAATATCAAGCCTACAGGACATGAAATAGCTGCCATTTATGCAAAAGGTAGCTCTGCACTTCCAACATTTAATGATGTTTAAATTGTGGTCCCTTCACTCAACAAGGCTAAGGGAAGTTTCCGATAAGAGGAGATAATATTAGAGTGCCGTTCATTTATGCTGTTGCAGTGGATTAGAGACAGGCTGGTCTTGGGCAAGGGAAGATCTTTACCACAGCTATGTATCAAACTGGTCACCTCTTCTTATGTCTAACCAGTCCTGCATGACTTCACTACCCATGCCTGCTGATTTCTACTGTGGCTTTGCTGCAGATGTAATACAGTTCTAAGCCCAGGTAAGTAATTTCCCCAGGAAATTACTTCCTTCTATATGAAAGAGGTGCAGGGGCCTGATATAGATTAGGAGCATAGTGCATGGGAAGAGGTTACCTTCTCACTGTAATCTTTGTAAAACCAAAAAAAACCCCTCCCCCCCCCCAAATGCCAAGTAGCAGCAGAAGAAAATGCTCTCATTGGAACCAATAAAGGCATTTCTTTTCCTTTTGAAATTTGGCATTTTGATTGGTGATATTATCATTTGCAACCATGTGGGTGGACAGGATTAAACCTCACCCCACCCCACCCCAGACACACATGCCACAATCCTGATTAGGAGAGCCCTGATTAGGAGATCTTAAAGGTAAAGGTACCCCTGCCCGTACGGGTCAGTCTTGACAGACTCTAGGGTTGTGCGCCCATCTCAAGAGGCCGGGGGTCAGCGCTGTCTGGAGACACTTCCGGGTCACGTGGCCAGCGTGACAAGCTGCATCTGGCGAGCCAGAGCCGCACACGGAAACGCCGTTTACCTTCCCGCTAGTAAGTGGTCCCTATTTATCTACTTGCACCCGGGGGTGCTTTCGAACTGCTAGGTTGGCAGGCGCTGGGACCGAACAACAGGAGCGCACCCCGCCGCGGGGATTCGAACCGCCGACCTTTCGATCGGCAAGCCCTAGGCGCTGAGGCTTTTACCCACAGCGCCACCCGCGTCCCCTTACTTTTAAGTTAAATTAAAAGTAATTTAATCTTACTTAAGGGGATCTTACTTTTAAGTTAAAAAGTCATACGGAGTGCATGTTTAAGGCAACATGCAGTTGACTCTCATTCTCAAAAAATACAGGCCTTTGTTTTGAAAAGCAAAGCTTAAAGACACTATGCCAGTGGTTTTCAACCAGTGTACTATGGTCAGGGGTGTCGCGGGCAACACTGGCCTCTGTCCCTCTTTCTTTCCCCACCTCCTCTGATGCCCTCTCACGTCTCTGCCTCCCAAAGGCTTGCACAGCTGTTAATTGCAGCAGCCCTGGCTATAGGGAACCAGGCAGAGGGCCTTCTTGGTAGTGGCCCCCGCCCTGTGGAACACCCTCGCACCAGATGTCAAACAGAAAAACAGCTACCAGACTTTTAGAAGACATCTGAAGGCAGCCCTGTTTAGGGAAGCTTTTAATGTTTAATAGGTTATTGTATTTTAATATTCTCTTGGAAGCTGGCCAGAGTGGCTGGGGAAACCCAGCCAGATGGGCAGGGTATTATTATTAATTATTATTATTATTATTATTATTATTATTATTATTATTAGTATTTCCACAGACGAATGTTGCCTCTGGAAGGCACCTCTTTTGGGCAGGTAGCAACCCAGAGATCAGAGACAGCAGCAGCTGCCCAGAGGACTCCCAAGGAGAGGGGGCTAAGGGAACACTCCACAAGGGAGCATGTTCGAAAAAGGTGAGAGGCAGCCAGCTCTGCAGGCAAGGGGTGACATAACTGGGCTCTTGAGCCCCACAGGGGTGCCACAGAAAGAATGTGGTTGGTTAAGGGAGCTGTGGACTCAAAAAGGTTGAAAAACCTCTGCACTACGCAAAAGGACACAATGCCAAGCACAATGTTAAACATACCAGTAGGGCAAGTACAGGTGAAATTGCTTCCATCATGCTTTTCTCTGATGTCCACACAGGTTCCATTGTTCTGACACGGATTGCTTTGACACGCATCAAATTCTTCACAGAGACCACCCAAATACTGACTTTCACAGTCACAGAAAAAAGTTTCCTAGAACAAACAGATTATAAAACGAACTTTATAAAAATGAAACCTCAAAGCTTCTTTTGAAACCAAGATCTTGATCAAGGTTACAGAGAATGATCAATTAAGAAAACTTAAAAGATCTACAGGGGGGGAAATAACACATTAAAGGTATGCAAGAAAAACTGCTACGGAACTTAAGATTTCTGCCGACTAAGCCTAACGCAAGCTTTATCATAGACTAACCTTTTTTTTTTTAAAGGATTATCTTTAGTTTTGTTTTTCATAAGCACAAAGAGTGGAAAGAATTCAAAGTGAAATATAGGATTGACACATTTTTTTAAAAATCAAATCTAATTATTTAGCCAGAATTTCACATTCATGCAGCTGATGATTCCTCAATACAACATCACTGAGTACAGTGGAGATTATTTCCAAGAAACTGCACAAATATTTCCTATGCAAACTCTCTTTGTACATTACAAGATGTAGTGCAAAGCATAAGCAAAAAAAGAATAACACATCAGCTCTTGGCTACGAGATGCCCTATGAGATGTGGAAGAAATACAAAAGAGGCAGAGCAAAAAATAATCTTGTACAAATACTCTTCTGGTAAGTGGCGTATTTTGAACCTGTATGTTAGATATTCAGCACTTATTCTTTGGTACCTTGGTGATAATTTCCACTACTATTAGAAATGCGGGGGGGGGGGGGAGCTTACACAACAGCTATTTTGTTGTCCTAGAAACTGCAGCGCTTTTTATGCAACTGTTACACAAATCTCCACAGTACATTTGCCTTTATCAAGCATTTATATAAACCAAAAGCTAAATATAAGGTGTTTGTTATGTCCAGCCTTGCTTGCAAAAACTCACATCGCAGGAGTGTCCTATATTTAGCAAATATAGATTATTTCTCATGAGAAGCATCTGCCTTTCCAAAGCAGTTTCTTGGTCCTGTCTGAAACTATCATACACATTTGTCAAAAAAATAGTTCAAATTAAACTATTTTAATTTTCCTGTTCTAGTCACGTTTTCCCAATGTTTAATTCTCATCCTTTCCACCTGTCTTTCTGACTGCCGAATTAGAAGGATTCTCCTTCTGTTGCGCTACCTCACAGAAAACATTGAGATGGTCATTATGCAAATCAAGGAGCCATTTCTCCTTCAGTCTTTAAACTATTCTTGATGGGAAATGCTAGGTAATGGAAAAAGTTTCCTGAGAAGACATAACATGTATTAAAATATGTGCCTATTTAAAGGGGGAAACTCAGCAGCCCAATCCACTCATCACATCAAACCATAGTTTGAAACAAACCATAGTTTGGTGGGAATGTGCTAGAGCACAATGCACAATAGTTCCTCCAACACTTCTCCCCTGCTCCTGCTGTACCACAGAAAAAACATGCCGAGGCAAAGTAGGACTGATGGGAGCTGAAGTCCAATAATACCTGGAGGGCATCATATTGGCTATGCTACCTATAATTTCTTCAGATTTTTGCTAACAAGCAACCAACTAAACAGAGAAAACCCATGGCCTTATCGACTTAGGCTGTAAATCCTAAACCCAATGATGTGGAATAAGTCCCGCTGAGCTGAGTCAGACTTATTTTTGAGTAGACATGATAATATAGCATTGCTGCTATATTATTATTATTATTATTATTATTATTATTTGCTTCTTATGCAACATCTCAAAGAGGCTTCCTATTTTACTGTACCAATATGGCATATGAACCCGTTCCAATTAAAGCTAAGGATTATGTAAAATATAAATTAGAGAACTACAAAGAAGGTAAGAAACAAAACTAGCTTGACAATTCAACATGTACGAAAAGGGCGGTGCTCCTGTCAAAAGATGATGCATTGTAAGAATTTACAAAGAAATGGAAAGAACAATTTATTCTTAAGAAAATATTGACAATGAAGCATGTCTCAACACTTCCAGAGAAATATTTCAGACAGGTAATAGCACTGGGACTTAGACAACTTATTATGCAGAGATGATTAGGTACCATTAGTAGTTATTAGCTAAGCAGCTGTCATCTTACTCCCATCACAGAGTTAACATTTATGGTGACATATACTCATTTATTTGAAGAGCAAAGAATTAAGAAAACTACCGATTGTCATAATCCTTTGTAAAAGCCAACCTGAACAGCTGCTTACAAATAACTGAATATTTATAAAGCTATTTACTTACTACTTTCATGTTTCCTTTAGCAGGCATGATGTGGATATTCAAAAAGGGGAGGCTCAACAATATGAGCTTCCCTCAAATTTAGCAGGCCCAAATTCAAGGGAAAGGAAGTCTTCCCCACTCTTGAGTAGGCCTACTTCAAAGTGGGGCTCACAACCCACCTCCACTAGAAACTGGAATTTTAGAGTTGCCTCTCCAGTTTCATGGAATCAGTTACCAGAAAAAATTAGGCAGACACCTAGTATATTGATATTTAGGTAACTACTGAAGTCAATTTTTGTTTAAGGTTTTCTCTGAAGTGTGAGCCAATCATTTCATGGAATATTAATTGCACATTTGCAAATATGGTTTAAATTGTTTTTAAGAGTCTGCATCTTTTGTAATTTAACTCTTATTATCTTAATGTACATTACGTTGAAAGCTTCCGGCAGTAAAGTGGTTTATCAATCTGTAAAATAAATAAATAAAATAATGCTGCATATATTTATCTCCTTCAGCCTTGCATGGCCATCCAGGCAACACATTGCAAACTGTAAACCACAAGGTAACATTACTAATTGTATATATAACGGCACTGATGCACCTGAGGAGCAGATAACAAAAACATTGCATTGCATTTTTCGTACCATGGAAGGAGTGATCAACGATAATAGATTGGTGACTGAGAGGAAGATAATGGAGTAGCTAGGTGAATGATGTATTTGTGTGTATTGGCAGACGTGTGTTAGATGTGGGACTAGATTGGAATCAGTGGTATTGGAGGAGGAGGAGCTACTACACGATTTGTATAGATCCACAACAGAATTTGAGTGTGGGCATGGTGTTAGTGCGGTGAGTGTAGTATATTGTGAGTCAATATATGACTAGGAAAGAGGATGGCTGAAGGAGGAAGGGATCATTGACTCTTGAGATGTTTTCACAATGTTTTGTGTTTTTGTTTAGGGGGGATTTGATTGTTTTATACTGCGTTGCATTGCATTGTGGTTTTTCAGTTTTGATCGCTATTTTGGAAGCCACTTAGAGACTTAGTATTAAATGATAAATAAGTTTAGGAAATAAACAAAACTGTATACGGATAGGTGTGGATTTAATTTTTTCCCCTTTTTAACATGTTTCAATGTTTTATCACAGGCAGTCCAGCAATTCTTTTATTGACCATTCCAGCATTACAGAATACCACAGTTGTTTACGGAATGGTAAGCAGAGCTTAGAGGTGGTCTGTTACTGTGCATTCAGATACCTTTGAACCAAATACAAAGATCATGATCCCAGAAATGATCTTTGTTCTGGCAGCGGAAGCACCAGCCACTGCCACCAATGCTTGTTTATGGCAAAATTCCTTTTGGATTTTCATTTTTAGGAACATGCTTAGCATTTGAGAAGGGGTTGTGAATAAAATCAGGGAAAGAAGGAACCCAACGCTATGGATGATTCACATTAAGCATACTGTTTGGGCAGCCAACTGCTGTAATACGTAGGAAAATTGCCATTTCTGGACATCTCTCACCCCGGGTGGAAAAAAAACAGTGGCAAAAGATCTCACACCTAATTAAGCCTACACTTCCCACGAGCCAACTGATTAAATTGCACTGTTTGCGTCAAGTTTTATTGGCTTAAAGTTCTGCCCTGCAACTAGCAGACCAAAAAATACAATAATAAAATAAAATTGTGGGGGGAATTGCTAAGGAAAAGGAAACAATAGCCTGGGCAAAACTAACATTCAATCTAAGCTCTATGCGAACTTACGATTGGGTGGCTAACCTAGCAGTACTTTGATGGCACTTATAAAACTGATCATCTTAAACAAGCCTCTTTATATGCTAGCTCAAAAAGTACTTTAAAGGAGACTGGAGACTGGTTACATCTTGATGGCAGAAAGAACGACATGACATTTCCAAGTACCAATATTGTGAGCTCTTTGCTAATAGCAGTTTTGTTGAGCTATTGTTCCTCTAGGGCTTTGTAACTAGTTGTCAAGTGTAAGACCCAGGAGAAACACAACCCAGGCAAAAGTGAGGTTTCAATAGCATGAATTTGAGCATGGATATTTGCAAGAGTGGGGTCTATGCAAGTCATAGGAACAACTATGAAGAGACCTTGTGGTCCCATCTCTTTTACTCTCCTATAGCCTGATGGAATATTCAGCTGCTTGCAGGAGCCGCCTGACTTAGCTTTCAACAGAATTAACTAGTTGCCTTTCGGAATCACAGTGCAATCCTATGCATGCTTACTCATAAGCAAGTCTTACTGAATTCAGCGTGTCCTCAGGCAAGCCAACACGGAAGTGCAGCTTCAATCTCTTTAGCATCTAAGAATAAGACCCATTTTCAGTTTCCAAATCCAAAGTGACAGATGTCCTTGTAAATCCCATATGAGGAATGTGTTGCTAGGTTTTCCCCCTCTACTCAAATACTTGGGGATTTCATAGATTCGTAGTTTCGGTAACTAATAAATGTTGACACTGAAGGCTAAACCACCTCTGAATATCTAACAATTTCAATCCTCGTAGCAAGGTCACTGCAAAGACCTCAGATGTCTGCAATCTCCTGCTGTGCCAGGAATCCTAGCTGAACTATTCTATGTGACAGGAGCACTAATAACAGCACCTTTCCCCCTTCCAGTGAGCTAAGGAAGGCTGATAGCACATAACATTTATCTGACTTGATTAAGCCTAAGATCCCAAGTATAATGCTTTGAACTGTGCAAAGTCTGGGAGCAGAACCAGGCCTGACACAATACAACATAATAATAGGAAGCATACATAACACGCAAAACTATCTGGAAAACACAGAGCATATTCAAGTGTCTTCCAAAAACTGAAAAATTAATAAAACATTTTGTGATGAGTACAGCAACACGATTGCCTCTATACTGATTTTCTAACAATTCATTCACACCACCTTGTAAAAATAGCTTCATAGAATGAAATGCTATAGTTGTTTCCACATTACTGAGGTTATGCTATCCACAATTAGCATAACCATTAGCAATATTAAGGGCAGACTTCATGGTGGAAGGCCTTGAAGGTGTCCAACAACTTGCAGAGCTGCTGCAACATCCTTCAGTTTCTGTTCTTGTCTGGGTAGGGAAGGCTTTAATTGCTGGCTTCTTCTCATTCTTTTCTTTTTAAAATTAGCACAACTCTTGCCGAAAAATAAAATAAAGAAGAAAATACTCATAGGCGATCCAAATGCAGAACTGGAAGATGCAATATTAGAGGACCCCCAATCCTGCAATAAACAAGCTTCACAAACAGGAACAGAAGCCTGGGAATTAAATGGAACTAATATACCTGAAACCAGTGTCCCATAGCAGGCACCCAGAGCCTCTGAGGAACCATCCCAACTACACAGGTCCACCCAATTACCTGGTCCTTTTTGCCAAAGATGATGAGTAGTTCCCAAGAAATCACAGTGAATGGAAGCTGTGATGGATCCTAAGCCCAGAGCACTGCTCCTCTAATAGGTCACTTCTCACCAAGGGTAAAAGGGAGTTCACTTCAGACACTGGAGCCTAGATAATTATATAAATGGCTCGGTTTCATCCTGGCTGAGGTCAGAACTATCCATAAACTTGCCAACAGGTATCCTGTATTCTGCTACTAGTTTTCTCCCAATAGCTGTTCTCTCCAGCTGCCCTTTAGCAGTTCATCCACCAGCTAGTTGCCTGCTTCCTGTGGCCTTTGTTGCTGTTGTTTAGTCATTTAGTTGTGTTGCCTAGTACCTGCCCAATGTGGGTCATCCATCAGTCCCCATGAGCCTCTCATGGACAAGGTGGGATACTGATCCATCTTCCTTCCTTCCTTCCTTCCTTCCTTCCTTCCTTCCTTCCTTCCTCAGCCCTCTCCAGCTTCTGTCCCACTCCATGCAGCAGGCATAATGATGCCTCTTACCTCAGAAGCTCTTGTGATACATTTTCCTTTCCCTGAACACGGAAGGTCATCTGACGGGCTTTCTCCTGCCAAGCATGTGCTGACTTTTACTATCACAGTCAAGCGTAAAGCCACAATGCATTTGGCGACGGAATCATTCACAAAACCTAAGGAAAAGAGACCAAATACATTATTATTAAAATACTGTGATTTATTTTTATTTATTTTTTAAAATAATAATAACTTGCCAAATCATTGTCATGTGACTAGACCAGGAAGACCAGACATGGGGGAGACATGTGTTTAAGATGCCGTGTAGGTACAGGGGAAAGGTTAATTCCCTGCACCATGACACAAGCAGGGGCCTCCAATGGCTGCTTTTACCGGGCTTTGAGATGGTACCTCGTAGAGCTCAGTGCATGCATGTTACACCCTGGAGAGCTACTGCCACACAGTGTAGACAACACTAGATGAACTAATAGTCTGACTCAGTATAAAGCAGTTTTCTATCTTTCTACGATCCCTGTTGATTAGATCCAAGCTCTCTTATACCAGCAAATGCGAAATGTGTGCTTAGAAGTTACACTAGTAGAAAGCTGAGGTGGTGAATGCCAGGGAATATGACACACACACACACCCCTCAAGAAAGAGGGTCGCTGATAAACAAGAGGGATGTTTGGTGGAACCCTAGAAGTTTACAGAAGTATAAATATTCCTCATATACACACAGTAACAGGCCAATGAAGACCAAGCACACTTGGTCTTGGGGGGGTTGGGGTGGGAAGGGGGGGGGACTGTGGATTGCCCTGTGTGAGGTGAATGGCTCCTCGAACAGAAATCAAGATGAGTTAGAAGCGAGAATACACACATTTTGCAATGTGTTACACTGCGACTTGGAACAGCACATCAGTTGTGCTGCGACAGCACAACTCTTAAAAGCCCACGATGGCATGATGTCAGTAGCCATGCTGAGAAAAACAATCATGCTGCTTATACTGAATATGTTTTCTTTGCTCTCTCCTCTTTCTGTGTACATTTAAAGAAAACCAAGTGCGGAATTTGCAATTCTGTTGCTCATGCTGTTTTTCCTCACCTGAAGCTATAACCTATTTGCAACATGACTCTTGGCAGTGCTGAATACCGCCGAAATGCATATGAGATTAAGTTTTCTCTCAGACTTAACAGCCAGTGCTCTAAGGAAACAAATGTTCCATTTTTATGCAAATCACCACAATTACGGAAAAGTGTGAGACAGAAAAATATATAAGCTGGACTTTTTCCCCCTCCTGAGGCATTTGAATGAGGGGAGGGGGGAACCCTAGCTTCCCTTCTAAATTTAATCCTAATGTTGCTTTTGTCCCAAAAAAATAACATTTGTAAGGTAAGCAGAACTAATCCTGAACCCCCCGTTATTCTTGAACTTTTCTAATGGGAAATGCACTTCCATTTTTAATGAGTTAGACCATATTTTCTCAGATGTTTCAACTTCTTGGGAAATCTGCTCCGTAACTGGAATATTGTATTTGCTGTGGTGCCTGTAATGAATAAGTAGCACAATATATAGCCATATCCTAGGACAAGGAGAAGGATAAATGAACAGGCAGGCTTCCGAGTGCACCATGGCTGCTTAAATTTATGATTTGGTGTCAGGGTATGTGTACTGAATTCTAAGAAATCTGGGAGGGACCTGCCCTTCTAGATAAGATGGCTGAAAGTTCCCTCTCCCCCATCCCCTCTCAGTTTTTAAATGGGGGTGGGGAAGCTTTGCCACCACTTCAAGGGGTAGCTTGGCTGTCCTCAGCAACCCAGCAGCATTTCATTTTTAATTTAGAACACAATGCCCAAAGGGAACATCACAAGTCATGATACAGATTCACTCCCATGGCGTGTGTGTGTGTGTGTGTGTGTGTGTGTGTGTGTAGTGGGAATAGAAGGCTGCCCACAATGGCAATTCATTTAACTGAAAAAAGAAGCTAATACATCTTACTTTCCATGACATGCTTACTTCTGCGCCTGACTCACTTAATAAAGCAACTATTTGCTTTATTAACTTTGCAGTTAATGCCCCGTTGAATTCAACAAATAAATGCCATTCGCACACTTTCTCTTTTTTATCTGCCTCTATCATTTATCCTAAGACCGTTTACTGCAAAACTAGCCTAGAGCGCATTGCCAGGGGGAATGTTCATGAGTTATTAGTATGAGATTCTTTGCATTACTAAGGACCTTAAATGTGACCTACAAAATAATTCTCATTGCTAAAACTCTATACATAGGCCCTGATCCAACTGTATGTGCTGGCTGCACACTTGCAGTCCATGGGACTTTGAGAGTCCCATGGACTGCAAGAAGATCAAACGTCTCCATTCTTAAGGAAATCAGCCCTGAGTGCTCACTGGAAGGACAGATCGTGAAGCTGAGGCTCCAAGACTTTGGCCACCTCATGAGAAGAGAAGACTCCCTGGAAAAGACCCTGATGTTGGGAAAGATTGAGGGCACAAGGAGAAGGGGACGACAGAGGACGAGATGGTTGGACAGTGTTCTCGAAGCTACGAACATGAATTTGATCAAACTGCGGGAGGCAGTGGAAGACAGGAGTGCCTGGCGTACTCTGGTCCATGGGGTCACGAAGAGTCGGACACGACTAAACGACTACAAGCACACTTGTGATTGAGTCTATCGGATTTTGAGGAGGAGGGATGGGGAAGGAAATATAGCCACCCTCCCTTAGACAGAACCAGAGTGGAAGAGATTTTACAACTTGATAGTCCCAAGCTATATTGGGAACTCCCATACCTCATCTAATATTTTATATATCATGTTTGCTGCTACTACAAAAATAAATAAAAAATTAGCAGCAGTTTCTGCCTGTGTGAGTGATAATGAAGATTTGGAACAATATGTCATCAGTACATTTTTACCAACTTTGTCTGGTTCGCCAGCTACAGTCATTTCTGGACAGGGGTAACTTGACCTCTGTTGTCCATGCATTGGTAGCTTCAAGGCTGGATTACTGCAATGCACTCTATGTGGGACCTATGTTCGGACATTCCAGCTAATGCAGAATAGAGTGGCTAGACTGCTGATGGATTCACACAGTTGACAACATGTGACACTATTGTTAAAACATTTGCACTGTCTACCCATCTACTACTAAGTCAAAGTCAAGGTCCTTGTATTGATTCACAAAGCCCTGAGCAACTTAGGTCCAGGGTATCTTCAGTGTCTCCCAAGCCTTTATATCCTAGCTTGATCACTGAGGTCATCTGCAGGAGCACCATTGCTCGTCCCACAAGTTGGCATGGCTCATTTACTAACAACAAGAAACTGGGCCTTTGGTTTCACCAGCCTAGTCTGCAAATTGAGATAATGATGATGATGATCTGGCTGGGCAGCTTCTATCAGAACACTAAAAACAGAATAAAACTTCAAACATTAAAAACCTCCCTAAACAGGGCTGCCTTTAGAGGTCTTCTGAAAGTCAGATGTTTCCTTGACATCTGTTGAGAGGGCGTTCCACAGGGTATGCGCCACTACCGAGAAGGCCCTCTGACTGGTTCTCTGTAACCTCACTTCTCGCAGTGAGGGAACCACCAGAAGGCCCTCGGAGGTGGACCTCAGTGTTAGGAAGCCATCTTCTATTTTAACCTTTAAGCACCTGTTGAAAGCTTTCCTATGCCGCAAAGCTTATGATGGCAATTAAGAACATATCCTTTTATAATATAATCTCTGATTTTAAACATATGTTTTTTATTGTATGGTTTTATGTATGGTTATTGTGTACTGCTTTAATGTTTTTATGAATAGAGGTATGTAAATATTTGTTATAAATAGTAAATAACCAGACCCAGCCTGTCTTGCTTTCAGCAAGTCAAGCTATTGGTCCATTTCTGAAGTATCATCTCAGTGGCTTGCCAGAATTTCAGACAGGGGTTTTTTCCACCCATACCTTGAAATTCCAAAAACCTCATATAAGACCTTCAGCATGCAAGAATGCACTCTTCCATTGAGTTGTGGCTGCTCCCAAACCCTTGTTAAGCACAATTCCTATTTCTCTTATAGAGCTATTCACATATAGCTCTGCAGACGCATAGTTTGTCCAGTGCAAAACTGTTTGCAATCTTCCATCTAGCTAGGGATATGTGCACCGATCACCACCAGATTGTGACAACGTATTACTATGACTTACTGAACTGAAACAAGCTACCTCATCTGAAGATGTGTGTAGCCAGATACATATCTTTAAAACTTGAAGCACTGCATAATCATAACTATGGTTTTTGACAGCCTAATCTTCTGATAAGGGGCTATTCAGGTGTTGTACAAAATATACTTCATTCTGACAAAAAGTTCCAAGATCAAGCAACGGGTGTCAGTTTTGCATAGGGAGGAAAGAAAGCAAAAAAAGCTGTAATCAAGTTGTGACAGTGTGCACGTTCACGTTCACGTTTGTGGTCTCCTTCCTTCTTTTCCTAAGTTCACACGTAGCCTAGCTGGGTTATGTGCACATGTTCACGCTGCATGACCAGATCAGAAGATGCTTGCTGGTAATTTCTAGATGCAGTACATTATTTCCTACACAGATACTATTTGTGCACTGAATCACTTGATTGGCTAATTACCATCTTGGCGCAGACGCCTGTTGAATTTCTTGCAGTGGTGTTTGAGCATCTTTAAGCAATTGCTAATTTAGTTAATTAGATACCAAGAGGCACTACTAAAGCAAATAATTTACTTCCTTGAATGGTTTGTGTTTGGCACACGAGAATTATTTGGAAGAACTTGCAAAAGAGTTATCAGACTGAAAAGGTTAAATTTTGCAGCAATAGATCAGAAAGTAGATGATGTAGGCCAATGATCAAAGAAAAAACTGCATTAATCTCTTGCATCTTCCTCATTTCAATGAGGGAAAAGATTAAAAGTAGCTAATAAAATCTGTTCCTACACAATCAACTAATTACTGTTAGAATCTTGCAAAATGCTTTTCAAAACTCATTTGTGCTAAGGAAAAATATATGTTTTTTCATTCATTGCCATCTTTATGTGCGTTTTTTGAGGACGGCAGAGATATGAGGTGGGGAATCCAATCCAAAACTGTAGAGTGATTGCATTCATTCTTATATGGTCAGAGGGTTGTGTTCCTGAATAAGGTTATGCTATTCCTGGACATTAAAAGATACCATGAGCTCCTGTGCTGAAAGGTTGCTCTAGTTCTCTGCCGTATGAGAGTTTCTGCAGCCGTCTTCTTCCCCCTTTGCTGATGTGTGCATAACTCCATACTGCATACTGCAGCATTCAAAGGAGGATAAAGGAACAGAGAGGGAGCCACAATAGGCTGAGATTAAGGTATAGTATGAACCCATAACCTGAACTCATTTTCGACAACACAGCCTACCAGAGCAACCATGACCTTCATAGCTAATACTACAGGTATGCTGACTTTTGATAGTCAGACAAAATAGCTTATCTGTTGGAGTAAAAGGTACACAGGCACTGCAAATTAGGTACACAGGTTCCAAGCTTTGGAACAAACTTCAAATTCCAAAGGTAGCACCCCACCCCCCCAGGCCAAGAGTCAGAAGAAGACCACCCTCATAACCTGCAGCAGAGCTGGACAAACCAATGTGTTTCTGGCCCGTGTCACTTTCACAAATAAAAACTGATATGGGAGAGAAAGGATTTAAGAAAGAAAACATGGTTTTTTAAAAAGCACCTTAAACTGGCATAAACATAAATAACTTGGATTTGTAACTTTAGATGATGCACCTTGTCTGTAAGGGACGCTCAAGGAATTCAGCCTACAGCCTTTTGATGACAGCTAGTGCTGGTTTTGTTTTGTTTTTTAATAGCTTTAGTGTATACAGTGGTACCTCGGGTTAAGTACTTAATTCGTTCCGGAAGTCTGTTCTTAACCAGAAACTGTTCTTAACCTGAAGCACCAGTTTAGCTGATGGGGCCTCCTGCTGCTGCCTCGCAGCTGCAGCACGATTTCTGTTCTCATCCTGAAGCAAAGTTCTTAACCTGAAGCACTATTTCTGGGTTAGCGGAGTCTGTAACCTGAAGCGTATGTAACCTGAAGCATATGTAACCTGAGGTACCACTGTACTTATTTTAATTTGTATTGAAATCCATCCTGAGCAGATCAGAAGGTGGGATATGAAATCTACAGTGTTATCAAAACTCACCAATGAAATAGTTGTTTCCTAACACAAGCATTTCCTCTGTCAGGACGAGTCCGCCCATTGCTTGCAGAAGAGTGACACTTGTGGCATCTATAAGCGAGCACTGCTTGAATCTTTCTGTTGTGACCTTCCATAACAAGATAAGGGAAGCTGTGGCATCTTGTCTTATGCTAAAGGGAGGAGAAGAAGAGTCAAAACACTAAACAAAACACACGGATTTTTTTTAAAAAAAGGTCTGAGCTTATAGTATATCACTCAATAATATAAAAAGGCAATAATGATCCAGAATCAAAAGATGGCTAACTTGATGCAACAAGTATTTGTAACGTATTTCCCCAAGCATTTGACTCCTGAAAGAGGTCAGGATGAAAACCAAAGGAAACATTAACAGAGCAATCGACCTACTTGGAGGAGTCGCTGCTGCCTCCAAAGCTTTGCTTGCTCATAGGGTGGTGAACCACCCAGTTTATTCCTTTGTTTATGTTTCTTCCTGTTCCAGCCAATGGAAGGGAATTAACAAGGCCAGCTCTAATCTTAGGCCCATTTGTGTGGGCACTGGACTATTAAAAAAGTCCACCCCAGGAAGGTTTCTTTCAACAGAGAGAGTGAGTGAGTGGTTAGAGTGCTGGACTAGCTAGGAAAAAGGGTTCATATCCCCACTCAGCCAGGAAGCTCATTGGGCAATTTTGGGCCCATCACTGTCTCTCACCATAACCTACCACACAGGGTTCTTGGATGTTGGAAGCGGTTGGATGCTTTAAGCTGCCCTGAGCTCCTCTGAAGAAGACTGAGAAATAAGTGTAATAAACAAATGAATGAGTGAGTGAGGTCCTACTGATAAATAGAGGTAAAGGAGCTGAAAATGAAGAAACAGCATAAGGAGCTAAAGCAAAGGCTGACAGAAGAGGGAGACAATGGGAGATAATCTGAGAATTAGTACCAAACTACATGTTCCATCGTTCACACTTCAACTGGATCAGGGTCCAGCTGCATCAGTTTCCAGCTGCAAAGTGCCCTCGGGCAGCTTCTACTTTCCCCAAAAGGTGCTATCTGCAGTAAACCAAACCTCTAGGGGCAGATTACACAGGAAGGACCACAGCTCAACGGTACAGCATCAGTTCTGCATGCAGAAGCTCCAAGGTCCAGTTCCCAGAATCTCCAGGTAAGGGCTGGGAGAGAATCCTGTCTGAAACCCTGGAGAACCACTGCCAGTCAATGTAGACAGTCTCACACTGTACTGTGTATAGTAAAATGTGGATACTCAACATGCAACTGTTGCTGGACCACATTCCAGTTTAAGGCCTTGCAGCTGTTTATTTCTTCAAAATAGTTGAAGTGGGCTCTTTAAAAGCGGCATGGATGATGTAACATGTATTCTGGCCTTCAGAATCTTCAGGGGAAAGAGGCAGCAAAGGCCTGGACGATGAAGGAAAAGGCCGGGGGGCAGGTTTCAACCAATGCGGCAGCTAACATATTGAGTCCTGAAAGTGCAACAGGGCTTCACCTTCCTCCCTATCCCACCCTACCTCCAAATTGGATTGGGGGAGTCAAAAGAAGCCCTGAAACAGCACTCAGGAGGAAGCAGCAAGGCTTGCACCGACAGAGAGATCTCCTTAGCACTACAATGAATTCCACGCGCCAAGTAGAAAGAAGAGGAGAATCTGGGAGAAGTCACATCAGGCTAAGTACAGAAGGACCGTATGCTATTTTTAGGAAATTAATGAATAAGTTAAGGAAGCTTTGGAAGTATGAGGACTGTAGGCAAGAGAGCCGGAGAGGAAGGAAAGAGGGCTAAATTTGACAAATGTTTCCTTTTAAGTTCCTAGTTGTCAATTAATAATTAATTAATTACTTTCTGAGGAGCACAGAAAAATTAATGGCCCATCTTTTCCGGAGTAGCAATAGTATGCCACAGTAATATCCACAGTCACTCAATCACAGCAGATTAAGAACACAGCTTTAATTAAATCATACTGTTTTGGCTTGAATGCAAATATTTAGAGTTTATGGTTTTTTTTATAAAAAGCAATCGCTCTTCATCTGCATTGTTGTTAGGTTTCCTGAAGGTCAAATTTCTCACTTGTGAAAAGAATGTTATTGCTTTTCATCATTCTTCCCTCTCCAAACTGATCGTTCTTTCATCACCCATCGGCCTTTTTACACCAAGTGGGCTTTGTAGACATTCTTGATCAAATCATTCCCCTCAGTTTCAATGGGTCTCTGTCTCTTTCACTTCACCTTCCTCCTCTACTTTTTCCACAACAATGAGTGCATCAATGAGTATTTTGGAGGTGGGACAAGTACTCAAGAAGCAGAAGCTATAAAAGGTGAAATCCACCATATCAAATTGGCAGGACTTAATTCAAGTAGGATCCAGCCACTTCAAGCAAATTCTAACAATGCACCTTGCCTCCATCACCTTTACCCCCTTCCCAAACCAAAACAAACAAACAAAAACCCCTTACATTGGGAAAGGGGGGGGGACAGATGGCAGAGTTCTTCATGCACAGTGTCCTTTACTGATGGGTATTCATGGGACTTGATCCCCTCTTCTTTTCCCTCTTTTGGTTGACTACAAATCCCATAACCCCTAGCTAGAAATGAGGCCTTCTGTAACCTGCTCATCTCCTTTCCTCTTAAAGAAGTGGAACATGTAATTTGCAGATGAGAAGGGGCCCCTCAAAGACATCCATTCATTCACTGTGTTTAACTCCCACTTTTTTTTCCTAAGGAGATCGTGGTTCTCCTCCTCCTCCTCCTCCTTGTTTAATCCTCAAAATAAACCCTGTGTGGTAGATTAGGCTGAGAGGCAGTGACTAGCTCAAGGTCATCCAGTAAGCTTCATGGCCAAGTGGCAATTTGAACCCTGGTCTCACACGTTCTAGTCCAACGGTCTAACCACTACACCACACTGGCACTTTTCTGTCTGGAAGAGAGCCATCTGCTTTCTGTTACCACCATCCTCTTCCCTGGAAGTGAGAATCTTCTGACTTCAGCAAGAGGGAGGATAGCAGGGACAAGGGAGTATCAACAATTATTTTTAGTATTTAATTTTAGCAATTTAGTCTCGGGGGGGAGCAAGGAGTCTTCTATTATCAGTTACATCAGAGATACCACGAAGCATGCTCCCTAAATTTCTATGAATTTTCTTGTTACCTCCAACATATCCTTATCTTGCAGTACTGATAGCAGTAGAACACTTGCTCATCCCCCCCCCCGCCTCAAAAATAAAGCAGGGTGTTCAAATGTTCTGATCAAACAGTTTTTAAAAACCCTGCTTGTTACCACTCCTGGATAAAACACCTGAGAGTAATGAGTTCGACAATGAAAATTGCTTTAAGCATATCTGTATAAGTCTAAGGTGCAGCAATTTCTTACTTTATAGATGTATTCTGTGGAACTTCAAAAGAGATTAGGCGTCCCCCACCAGAATTATTGGAGCTAGCATTGCCACAAGCCACATCAGGGATTATCTGGAAAGGGGGGGGGGGAAGAGTATTTATCAGGACTTTTCACATGCCCAATGCTATTTAAACAGTAAAAATAATACACAGAAAAACTGAAATTGGTATTCACCAACATAAACAAATCACACAAAGTCTTACAGTTTAAGAGAGTGACGGAGAACCTCCACCCCATGGGCCTAATTAGGTTTGCCAACCTTCCCAATTTGGCCAGCATGGCCATTAGGCCAGCCAATGCCCACCAGTCACTCACCTGATACCATGTGACTTCAGACATGGGACAGATAAACCTGCAGCTGCAAAGGAACAAGTAGAAACCTTTCTGTGCATTCCCAGTTGTCCCTTGGCAATGCAGTGCACATCATTAACAAATGGAAACAGCACTGAATGGAAGATACGGCTGAAAAGGAACAATCAGGAGCATGATCTACCCCAACTTTTCCCTTTCAGATGTGACTTGCCTTTGATGCAGTTCAAAATTGTTGCCAAATGCCAATCATTTCAGCCCGTGTCTGACATATGCTGTCACAGGATTGACCTCGCCCAATTGTAAATGTGGCCTGCGGAGGACTGGTCACTTCTACCTCTGCCCTGGTAACTGAAAGTGGCTCTCCACCTCTGGTCTAAGGGCCAAGATAGATGTGATGGAAACTGAGTGAATATAATTCATCTCTCTCTCTCTCTCTCTCTCTCTCTCTCTCTCTCTGTGTGTGTGTGTGTGTGTGTGTGTCTAGATAGATATGGGAGAGCAGCAGGGCTGCAGGTTTTAATTACCTACAGGAAACTACTATTTTCACCTGAAATATTACCTTTAAAAAAAAAGAATGTCTGAAGTTCTGTGCTTTAACAGATTGCCTTTAAACTTTAACTTTGCCTTTATAAGGTATCAGTCAGTCCTTTAGAAAAGCATAAATGGATTTTCACATTGTAATACGCTAGATACCAAAGAGATTGCAGCACAGCCCTTTTAACAGCAGGTAATAGAAGCTCATGGGATTTCAGGAACTGTAGCAGGAACAGCTGATAGCATCTCTCAGCTATGCTTACTATCGCATAGAGTTTCAACAAATCACAGATAGCAATGCTCTGCCACCTGATCCCAGCAACAAAGAAGCCTGTTATCATTTTCCCAGCGACAGAAAGCTTTCTACCAGGGGGAAAAATGGAGCCAAGAGAACCTGCCAATGAAATAAATCCATGACCTATGAGTGCATCTCATTGCAAGGCAGGTTTTCAGGCAAAAGTATGTTCCTCCGAACAGCACTGTATTTAGGGCATGCGGATGGTTCCCCCGCACAGGGTGCTGAGCCAAGGGGGGCGCAAAATTGAAAAGATCCATAATTGAGAAGATCCATTTGGGGACACAAAATTTTGACCTCGCACAGGGTGTCATGGACTGGTTGGATACAGAGGATGGCATGAGGAACCAACTGGGGGATCCCTAAGGAAAGAAGGCTCAGAGCCAGGGGACTGGTGGTGGGATGATGATGATGAGTGGTCAGAGGGAGAGAAGGGAGAAGGGATAGCTCAGCTGGTTAGACTAGAGCACAGTGTGAATAACACCAAGGTTGTAGATTCGATCCCCATATGGGACAGCTGCATATTCCTGCACTGCAGGGAATTGGACTTGATCATCCTCAGGGTCCCTTCCAACTCTACAATCTATGATTCTATGACTGGAAGGAGGTGTCGGGAATCTGAAGAGGTAACTGGGCTTAGTGAGTGGGTGGAGGGAATGTTTGTGGCAGAGAGAAGCCCAGAATCAGGGGCAGAACCTGAAGCAGGAGAAGAGGGAGCCCAAGAGGCATGGGTGTCTCCCTCTCCTGCTGCAATGAGCTCCCCTCCCCCTGTCTCCCAGAACCAGGAGAGGCATAAAGAGGGCAGGGGAGAAGTTAGCTTCACACAAGCACCGTCTCAGAATGCTTGGGGGAAACCCTGGAGAGGAGGGGACTCTATGGGGAGGCAAGGACCTTCAGTCTCAGCAACTGCTTCATGTCGGGCAAGACCTGCCAGAGATGCTGTGTTCATTAGGTCCAACACTACTGTGCAGAACCCATCCTTGCTAATAAAGAGCTAACACCAACTTGCTTAGTGTGATTTACTGCTGGCTCACTCCTGTCTTGGGCACCATATTATAAAAGATTACCAAAGTCCCTGTCTACTCAAAAAACGATTTTACAAAACTAGCTGATCAATCAGATTGCAGGTGTAGTAGCAATATGGTACAGATTGTGGCGCCCAAAAACACATTAGCTTAGCTTTTGAAAAATGGGGGTGAGGGGACAGTAATAATAATAATAATAAATAATAATAAATTTTTATTTATATCCCGCCCTCCCCAGCCGAAGCTGGGCTCAGGGCGGCTAACAACAATCAAAATAGTCCGACATTCTAAAAACATTCATTATAAAATTAATTAAATCAAATTAAAATCAAATTAATGGCAACCATCAAGCAAAATTCTGTGCAGATTGCCGATTGCCAGAGGAGGGGGTCAGGCTGCGCCCTGACCAAAGGCCTGGTGGAACAGCTCTGTCTTGCAGGCCCTGCGGAAGGATGTCAGGTCCTGCAGGGCCCTAGTCTCTTGTGACAGAGCGTTCCACCAGATTGGAGCCGCAGCCGAGAAGGCCCTGGCTCTAGTTGAGGCCAGCCTAACCTCTCTGTGGCCTGGGATCTTTAGGATGTTTTTATTTGCAGACCGTAAATTTCTCTGTGGGACATACCAGGAGAGTACTTAGCTAATTAGTACTTAGCTAATTGGGAGCCACTGCTCTATGCGGCATGGATAGGTTATACCAAGGGAGAGATTTAAGAATGGGGTAGGATAATTTCATTGGGTTTCCTTTAATTTGCTTTTTGAAAAACTTCTATACATACTGGACTCAAATCAGGTACAAGATCTTGGATACATATTGGACTTGAATCAGGTACAAGCCTTTAACATTACAATACGAATAGCAATCAGAGCTGTGTGCATTTTCTGTAGAATGGCATTTTCTCTTTCCCTTGGTCCCAGTCACTCTCTTTGCACCCATATGGCATTGTGAGCATTAAGTTGCTTGACTCCTAGCCCATCACTTGCTTAGCAAGACTCTGCACTTCATATAATGCAACAAAACATTCCAAGGAATTTATATATTCATAACTTAACAACCATTCGTTTGGTAGTGTCCTGGTCATTAAAAGAAATTAATTAGAAGATGCTTTCTGTGCTACTTTCCAGACTCCTCACTCTTTCCATATGCAAAGTCATTTATAGGCAATTTCCCAAACGACTTGACATGTTTTTTTGTTGAAATAAAAGGTCTTACCTCTACTTCATTCCATTTTAGATCCACAACTTTCTGACCTTCCTTTGGCTCCCATGTAGGCAGCGTCACTGTTGCTTGCGACCGCGGCAGGACCATGTCAGGTTCAATAGTGGCCAATACTGGCCTGTTTTGGATTGGTGCCTCTGACTCTGTCCAGCCAGAGACGGGAGGACTGTAAAACGAGTGCTCACAGTTTGTACCTTCGTAGCCTTCATTACAAACACAGAGATATCCACCAGCGTTACTGCTGCAGTTGCCATGGTGACAGGGATTGCTGGCACATGGATCTGAAACAAACTGAAGAGAAACAATATAATGAATCAATTAATACCACAACATCAGCTTTGCATGTTCAACCACTAATGGTAGTTGACTAATACTCATTATGTAGCCTAAAGGACTTCAAAGGCTTTGCATTAGAGATTGCATATGGTTCTTTGTTCACACGTCAGTGAATCAGTTGCCATATTCTAGTGGGTGCCATAAAGCAAAGTAACAAACAAAGATTTGGCTAAGATAGGTAGAAAAGTCCTAAGAAAGGAATGCTGTGGAATCGTGTACTATTAGGAAGGTTGCAATGTCTAAAAATGTAGTGTGCTGGTTGTATGAGCCAAAGGAAAAATCATCCAGGTATCCTTCCCTCTCGCTCTTGGCTGAGTTAACTGAGGGTCACAGTGATATTTCTGATATGACTCTACCCAGTCACTGATACTCTTCCCTCCACAGCCCCTAGTTACAGCCTTTTATTCAACAAATAAATAATGGCTTTGTGTTGCATTTCATTTTCAAAACTGGTGCTGATGAAACAATTGCTAAATTTCGTATTTGTTTCTATGGAAAGCACTGCTATGGTTTAAAAACCTATTTTTTTAAAAAAATTAAAGCTGCTTTTAGAGCTGAAAGGATAATAGACGTTGCTTGTACATTTAGCTGATTCATCTATGTTTTTACAGGTCATGAAGCCACTTGATTCCTCTTGTGGAATCAACACCAGTACACACTTCAAGAAAATCCTTCATCTATGTACTCCATTCTAAATAGTGTAGCAATTTCACTAGTAATGTTTAGAATATAGGGCACCATATCCCTAAGGAAGAGCTCTCAAAACACATTGGGACTAATTAACAAAGAAAGTGTTTTCAGTGCACCATTCTGCATCATCCCACCTATTTCTTTATTTTGGTACCTTCCCCCACTTTCTCCCATTGTGTAGGATCCACAAATATGTATCCTAATCTCTCTCTCTAAATCCATTCTCCATACTCACATCAAAGGTGAAAGCTTTCCCTTCTTTCAATCATTCTATCATCGCAAGGAATTTTTTGAAATAAATAAATGGAACTCTTGATGAATGAGCTTCAGTCAGCACAAGTATGTATTAGAAACCAAACAAAGTCTAATTCAACAGTTCAACATTGCAACTTTGCTTCTGTGCACATGAGATCTCTTTTAAGAGATCTAAAAGTTCAAATTTGCAATGTTCAAGCAGATGCCATTGTCTTTAATGTTCTGGAGACCATGTAATTACTATGCAGAAAACAAACAAACAAAAAATGTTAAAGGAGATCTAATCCAGATTTATGAAGATGGTTTGCTTCTGTCTTTTTATCATAATCCAGTAAGTACTTCAAGATGGTGTTGCTTTAGTTTTGTTTATTAAAAAAACCCACAAAATCACAGTGAGCAGAAACAGGTTCGGTAATTTGCAGATAAATTCAGATTCAGGAAGTAGCAGCTTTCATCTCGTAAGCATGAAACTTTGTAAACTTCTATCATTAACATCCTTATGACGAGGCTTTTTGAACCAGGGCATTTCACAAGCCTTGATAAATAATATTTCAACAGAAATGCTAACATTAGGAAATATTATTCCTGGCTACGGAGCTTAAGAAAGAGGATAAGGAGAAAATAATTAAATTTTACAGAAAGAAAATGATCTGTTGGAATATGAAAAAAAAATGAATAATGTTATTTCTTCATGTAAGAGCTGCAGATCTTTACAGGGTACAATATGCTTAGGCAGTCCACCTAAAGCCTCCTCATAATAAGCTGTACTCTCAAATATTACAGTTTCTGCCAATGCTGCGTAGTACAAGGCAGCCTCATTTCTGAGGATTTCTACCAGCTGCTATGCATCCCCTACCATCTCCATACTGCTTTTCCATCCTTCTTCCTTTGCATGTAGCACCCCAACGCTCCTCCAAAGTCACATGACCCAGCGTCCTGCTTTGGCATGGCTGTGCATTAATCACATATTCCCCCGAGCAGTTTATTCTCAAGACAAATCAGTTATTAAGTAACAGCTGAATCATGCACAAGTCTCTATCCTACTTCCTGGATGGCTTCAAAAGAGGATTAGTCAAATTCACACAGGATAAGACCACCAGTAGCTACTAGCCATGAGGGCTATGTTCTATCTCCATAGTCAGAGGCAGCAGGTCTCTGAATGCCTGTTATCACAAGCAGAGAGAGTATTGCTGCACTCAGGTCATGCTTAAAGGTAAAGGTAAAGGGACCCCTGACCATTAGGTCCAGTTGTGGCCGACTCTGGGGTTGTGGCGCTCATCTCGCTTTATTGGCCGAGGAAGCCGGTGTACAGCTTCCGGGTCATGTGGCCAGCATGACTAAGCCGCTTCTGGCAAACCAGAGCAGCGCATGGAAATGCCGTTTACCTTCCCGCTGGAGCGGTACCTATTTATCTACTTGCACTTGACATGCTTTTGAACTGCTAGGTTGACAGGAGCAGGGACCGAGCAACGGGAGCTCACCCTGTCGCGGGGATTCGAACTGCCAACCTTCTGATCGACAAGTCCTAGGCTCTGTGGTTTAACCCACAGCGCCACCCGCGTCCAGCTTACAGCTTCTCAAAGGCATCTGGTTGGCCTTTGGTCTAACCTAGCAGGGCTTTTCTTATGTTTTTGTCCCTCCAACGCATCACCTTTTGTCATGAGAAAGATAAAATATTCATGGCCTATATAAATACTTCCTGTCGTTTCACAAATTTAAGTAGACCAACTACTCGATAAATGCATTTCAAGCATCGCACGCGCGCACACACACACACACACACACACACACACCTGCCCTTCTTGTCCTCATCTAACCCATGTGCTCTGAGGCACAGCCCTCTTTCTGCTTTCACCTCAAAATCTGATGCCCAGATGCGTATAACACATTGGGCACAGCGTTTACCAGCCACACAAGCCCCAAACACAGAATATATATCAACCTTTGCATGTGCCACCCATCAGCCAGCCATGATACCAGACTCTTGGTATCCTTTCCCACTTCTCCACCATATGACAGACAAGGCAACTTTTTCTGTCCTTAAAGCCTGAGTCGGTGTGATTTTGGCTACTGAGCTTACTTGACTGCTCTTAGCCGTTCACATTCATTTTGATCGGGTATGTCCAGGTGGCTTGTGCCTTAAGGCCAGTGTCTGAGATCCCAGGGTGATTTGATGAGCATTGGAAGGAGACAGAAGGGTGAGAGGATGACATGCATCACAAGCTGTGGAAGTTTTTAATGTTTGATGTTTTACTATGTTTTTATATGTGCTGTAAGCTGCCCAGAGTGGCTGGGGAAACCCAACCAGATGGGCGGACTATAAATAATAAAATTATTATTATTATTATTATTATTATTATTATTATTATTATTATTATTATTATTATTCACCACTCAGAGCAGCTTACAACTATTTAAAATTACAATACAATAAAAAATACAAAAAAGGGGTGGAACCTATATATATCTATATACACATATATATCTATATACACATATACAGAGAAAATCCACTTAAAAGCACCAGTGGCGGTGATCTCAGGTAAAAATGACCTTAGCAGGCAAAAGCCTACTGGAAAGAAAATGTTTTTACTAGCTGATAAAGCGCAACTGTGCCCTCTCTTTAGTTAAATGTCTGCTAGGATGCAAAGAGCATATCCTTCTAATTCATACCTCTTCACTTACTTGAGGCGGGGGCATTGGTAAAATGAACATGTGCCAAGATTATTTATTCTTTATCTAGTCCAGACTTGTAATCCATTCACCTGGTCATGCGCAGCCTCCATGCAACCAAGCAGAGAAGCTACTGAGATGTATTCTGAGACTGACTTTTCTAGGTTTTCAGTTCCTTTAGGACACAGATATGCTACAAGTTACTGATGTGTAGGTAAGTATGGGGCAGGCTGCAGAGTTTACAAATATTTGGGCTACTAGTTTATTTGTAAGGCTGACTTTGTGCACAATGCCAGCAAACTAGCAAGTCGATTACAAAGCTCAGTTCATTTAGAAACTCAGCTTAGACTTTCATTTCAAAACATTTCAAAGTGGGCAATGTTGCACTAATATATGCAAAAGGCATGGTTTGTGAGACACTTTGAGCAAAATGTATTAGCAAATCATGTTCGTATAGTCCAGCTACGTAACAATCTCAGTTTTTTCAGAAGTACAAATAGATGCAGCATGTGCTCTGTTGTCTGTTTCTGTATTTATCCCTGGGTCATCTGACTGTCATCTTGCATGTTCTACTTAATAGATACGGTGGTACAAGGCAGCAGCTGCAGAATCTAGCTGACAAAGCAAGAACTGGGATGGGGGAAGAATCACAAGACAAGTTTCACCCCAATTAATATGAGGTTTGCAGACAAATGCACACCAATGTGACCTTACACTGCACAAGAAGTTCTTTTTCCAAGGTGGACAGAATGCAAAAAAAAAGAGTAAAGTACAATTACATTGCCTATAGCAATTTTCTCTAGCTATTCACACTGAGTTGGAGCCAGAGATGCTCTTCTAGTCATAAAATGATCCCTTTCCAGACTGGAAGGGACCTGAATTCAATGGAGTTTCCATGAACGAAAACTCCTGATCCATCACCAATAAGCAGATCCAAAAGTCTTAAGTGAACTCACTTTCTTTCTATTTTTAATAAAATGAAAAAAGATGTAAATAGGTAGTTATGCTGGTTCACACCTATAATGTGGTAAACCAATACTCTCAAGTTATTTTTCTTTGAGCTCCTGGCCTTCAGCTGATGAGTCAGAATCCAAAACTCCCAACCTAAAGTGAGTCACATCAGTGCTACTTCCATCACTTCTATGTGGGGTCTGGGGTTTGGCTAACCTCCCCACCCCCCACCCCCCCAAAATAAAACCAGAACAAGAGAGAGTAACCAGCATTACTATTACATAAACCACACACACACACACACACACACACACACACACACACACCAACTATATAGCCATTTCTACCTGTGAGTAATGGTGACCAGTGTAAATAAATTTTTAAAA